TGGGGAGAATGGAAACGGGGTTCCTCTCTCCGCCGCTGGCAGGCTCTGTTTATTTGTCGTGCTGATGGCAACAGCGGCGTCCCCTTCCTTCCCCCGCTGCCTCGCCGCCTCCGGCCCGGGGCACGGGGGATCCCTGCCGGCTGCTGCCGCCCCTGAGCCCGGGCGGGTGGGTGGCCGGGGCGCCGGACACCGCCTGTATTCGCTTTTAAATCCTTCGTCGGTTGACGGAGTAGTGATGACAAGTCTTTGTGGGTTTTTAGTTTTTTTTCTTTAATTTGTTTGTTTTTTAGTGGTGCTGAATTTTGTTTGAAAAGGTATTTTAAGTCACTGTTACCCGTCACAGCCTAATTTTTTTTTTGGCTCTAAACCACTTCACATAGAAGCTGGTCCCCCATATCAGGATGGATTTGAAGGTAGAGCTTCAGGCTCTAATGGCTCAGCGGTGTTCCAGTGGTTTGGTGTTCCAGCCAGGTCCAGTTTTTGCGAGAACTGACTGTAAAACTCGGATATACAAAATTTCTGTTCTTGTGAGTCATGTGCTGTCACTGTGCTTCCTTCAGTGTTTCTTTTATTTATGAGTGTTTGGCTCCCTGTCTGCCAGCTTTCATCTCCAGGGGTGGAGAAGAGGGAGTAATATTCTGGTTTCTCTGTTTGGACTTCCTGGTGTCCTGAACTTTGCTACTACACCCTTCATTTATTGTCACCTATCACCATTCCAGTGTCTTCCAGTGCAGTTGCTCATAAATTTCACTTGACAGGCAAGTTTCAGGCAGATTTTGCTGCTGCTTGTAAGCCTTTGAATGAATGGCAGCAGTGAAAATTGTCGTAATACTACTAACTTAACCTTAGACTTACAGAAATAATGGAATTGCGCCAGTTTAACTAATTGAAGATGCCAGTATGAATAATGCTTTGCACAACCTGTGTCAGTTGGAGCTGCTTTAAATTTACTCCAGTACTAAAGTAGGTAAATTGATTCTGAATTTTGTCTGTTTTCTTCACATCTTGGGCATTTTTATCTTACACTTCAGAGGTAGTTATGTCTATGGAATGGCAGTGCAAGTTCAAGCTCTGAGATCTTTGGAACATTTACTTCTGTCACCCAGTAGTGCAAGTTCAAGCCCAGAGACTTTTGGAACAAGTTCTTCTATCCCCCTGTAGTGCAGAAGGAACACAAATTCTATGCTTTCCCTAGGAATTGCATGAAACAAATTGGTGGGACTGATGTAAGGAGATAAGTGGGCTTAACACACTGAAGTCTCAAATTGCATTCCAAGAAGATCTCTGTTCAATGGCCATCCATCTTTAGGTCTGTCTTAGCTCATTAGGTATCTTCTTTCTTGACCTTGGTGTTCCTTAGGTTCATGCAGGTCTGTCCAAACTCTTCTTGAGAATCAGGTTTGGCTTGTAGTATGTTGTTCCAAACATGTACTGACAGGATCAGCTTGGAATATTCCACACTGGTCTAGGATAATACGTAGTTTGGTGTCTTCTTTTGTGCTGTGTGTGGTCTCTTAAATTATGACTCCCCTGCCCTGACTCTCCTGTTGCATTTGAATAACTTTAATTTGACATTTAATTTGAAAGATACATAGTTTACCCCTCCATCCTGAAAGTGAGAGTCATAGTTTTCTCACAGGAAATGGAGATGTATGTTTGAATTTACTTATGCTGAAGAAAGCAATAAATCCAGGTATTGAACTTCCAATGCATGTGCCATAGCTGTTAGAGTATTATGTGGCCAGTGCTGACACTTCTTTAATATTGTGATCTCTGCCAGCTTCACTACTTTGAGGAAATAAAGCCACAAGTGTATCTTGCTAGGGCAGGATTCTAGATGATGAATTTCAAGTGGTTTTTTTTTAAAGCAAGTCTTAACGTCTGAGTCCAGTGCCAGTGAGTACCCTGAGCTTGAAAGTATAACTTTTTTTTTATCACTCCCTCAAAGTATCCTTCAGCAGTTGTTTTCTGGACACTTGAGAGCTTGACACAAATTCTGAATGCTACTAGTAAGGCTCAGTGCTTAAAAACTAGGTCTTGTAGCCCAAAACTCTGACACTGTGTTTGATGTGCCGCTTTTTTGTCTTTATACACAACATTTGGAAATGCAAGCAAGTTAAATAGCAAATAAGTTTGGTAAGTCTATAGGGTGTATAATGCTTTTTCTCTATCTGCTGAGATGTAGTTCATGTCAACTGGAGTTTTTTTTATGACTAGAGAAAATAATCACCAAAGACAAGCATAGAAGCTCCTTAGTCCCACACCCTTTTAGTTACTTCTGTACAGAAAAACTCTGGGAAAATCTGTATGTGCTCCACAGTGCAATTTCTGTTACTAGAATAGCAAAAGGCTTTAGTTTTGTAACTGTGCCATAAAATGCATGTTATGGCCCAGCTACGCTTGTATTTAACTACTGTCTTTTTCTAGATCACTATACTTGCAATGTAGTTAAATTTAATTAGAATAAATATTAAGCATTTCATTTAGGTGTTTAAAAGTGTATTTAAAAGTTTTTTCACCTTTTTTTGCGTGTCTTGTATAGGGGTTGATTGTAGAAATATGTAAGGATGTCATGTTTAAATTTAGTTGATGGTTTTAAGTTTGGTTTTTTGTTTTATTTGGAAAGCTTTATCTTCCTGCCAAAAGTTCAAGATTTTATTTGTTTTAGTTTGTGTATGCTGGGAGCTAATCATGGATAGATTTTTAAAAAATTGCTCAAATATTTTTCACAATTGAAATTTATTTAGCATTATTTAATTTTATTTTAGGACTCTTTTTCTCTCTGTCCCCTCCCTTCCAGCTTGTTCTTCCCCCAGGAGTCAAATTCTAGGGGTGTGTTGGAGATAGTTACCTGATGCCCACAGAACTCTGCCATAAGGAACAATTCGTAGAGAGTTCAAACTTGAACTTAGTGATGGTTGGTGACTCTCTGCAATGTTTAGTCGTCATTTGGTGTTTTGAGAGGCTTGTGTCTCTTGCACCATGTGTTTGCTATAAGCAATGTTGATTTTTTAAAAGTTTGTTTTACAATTTTTATAGCTGATGAAATGTGATTTGAATTTGACTTATCTTTGTTCAGGGTTCAAAGATAATAGATTAGTGTTGCTTCTTTCTTTTGTTAGCTAGGGACACACAACTTCAAATAGCTGATAGAAGCAATAATCTTGGAGTACAGTAGAACAGTAATAACAACAAATAGCATTGTTGCAGCATGATAACACTTTCTTGGATTCCACTTCATAATTCTGGAGAATCTTTATTTAATATTCAGTAAATATTACCTTACCTACCTAGTGGAAGTGGTGATTGTGTAGAGGCATGGTATGTAAAAGACATGAGATACTATGCTTGTTTGGGACTGTTTTAATTCTTCCTATTCTGATTGCTTTGTAACTTAGGATCAATGAAGGTGATGAGGAAAATTTTGAAAGTAAGAATTTTGTGAGAACAGTCCTATATTTCCATATCCTGAAACCATATACCTGGGTTCTCAGAAAGCATAGCCTGTCCTGTTATAAGTTGGTATCTACATGAACAATCTGTGGAGATTGTACTTTCAAAAATGGGTAGCTTGTTGAAGGGAAAAATTATAATAATTATATGTAATAAAAGAAAAAATATTGCATATTAATATTATTTATAATTATTATATGTTAAAAGATTTAAAGTTTTGTCAAATGACAAATATTAATATGACTATTTTAAAAACAGTATTTTACTTCAGCAAGTCTGTAAGTGACTGAACAGGCTCATCACACCCATGCAGTGTGCTGGCATTTGCAGCATTAGTGATTACAGAGGCTGTGGCTGAATGTCAGTGTATTCCCACCACTGATGTGGATCTTTGTGTTCTGGCCTTTTTTGGTTGCCTTCAAGTGTGAAATATGAAACTGATTAGAGATTAAAATGAAACTTACTGCACTCAGGTACTCAAGTATAGAGACAAAATGGAATGGTTATGAAGTGATTTAAAGAATCACTACTAAAAATTCATGGTCTCAGGACTGTAGAAGTCACCTTGGAAGACAGGAAACTTCCTTCATTTAAAAATTAAATAGGTAATTGTTTTTGTTTTGTTTGGGTTTTTTTAATGCATATTTTTTAAAAGCTTTGATTGAATTAACAGAATTGTCAATTCAAAGAAATTGATGCTCCGTTGAAAATTCTGTAATTCTTACTTTATAAAAGAAAAAAAGCCGTATTGAATTTTCATGTATTGCAATTCTGTTAATTCTCTCTTTTATCTAAGTATGATGGCTTTTTCTTTATAATGAAACTTAGTGTATGTAGAATCTGTGTAAAAAGAATGATCTGTTAAGCAGTGGACGCTTGTAAAGGTAAATAAGTGTTGCTTGATACATTTATTTTATGTAAAAGATACCTTTATGGTAACAGAGTAATTTAATTTCTTCCCAGATAATGAAACTGCTGTCTATACGCTGATGCCGATGGTTATGGCTGACCAGCACAGGTGAGAGCTTCTTTAAGTTTACCTTTTTTTCTTCTTTTTTTCTTATGGTCTGAAAAACAGCATGTTTGCTTAAGTCATAGCTGCTAAAGCACTCTCAGAAGTCCTGCTGCTGAATTGCTGAGTTATGTGCTAATTTGAAGTTCGTCACTGACTGTGTGCATTTGATTTATGCCATAGACAGAACTGGGATTTGTTCTGTTGACGCACATAGAAAAATTTGTTACAGGATAAGAACAAAAATGTTGTTTTGTAACTGTGTCTTAGCTCTGAGTGTGTATTTATGGGTTACATAGAAGCTCTTAGTCTCATTAGGTCATCTGGAATTCCTCAGATGTCCAGGCGTTTCTCTTACTGAGTTGTCCTCAAAGTGCTTGGAACCTGGAAGCTATATAATGCCAGCTAAGTGGTGCTTCCTTCACATGATTTTTGTAGGGAAGCAGGCAGTAACTCTTACTGAAACAGTAACCTTCTTTTTCCAGCCAGGATAAATGGCTGTTCTGCTATGTAATATTTTGAGATTGCATGCAAGGGTTTTGAATTACATGATCAGCCCATTACTGGAAGTTGAAAGGTCCTATTTTAATTTTTTATCCTGATCTTGTATCCTTCTACTTCATTGTTATGATTTCACATACCAGTCTTCCCTCTGAACTTTGCCAGTGTTTGGGAAAACTATTGAATATGTGGTTGGGGTGATTGTGATAAGGAGGAAAATGGGCATTTATATTTTGTTTAAACCAAAGCTGTTGACATGCTGATTTTTCATATTTGTAAAGAAGTGATTTGGTTGTTTGGTCTAATTCGTACTAGTTTACATTTGAAACAGTATTCCAGTGCCACAGTTCATTTTTTATACACAGTAAGAAGTGGAAATATATTGTTAATCAGAAAATGCTTAAAAATTGTTTGATAAGTAATTAGTTGGAGGGAAAAGAAATAGTGATTAAGTAAGAAATAGAGTACTTGTGTACAGCTTACAGTATAAACTTTCCTTTGATACTGTGAACTATTTTTAAAATGAAAAAAATATTTTTCTGTTTGAAGGTCTGTCTCAGAGCTGCTGTCAAATTCAAAATTTGATGTGAATTATGCCTTTGGACGTGTGAAGAGAAGTTTACTTCATATTGCAGCAAAGTAAGACTTAATTGAGTCCAGTCCAGAAGTTAACAATGAAAATATTGCCACAAATCTAAGGCACCAATGTAAGCTGGAAAACTCTATAGTGTCAGTTAACATTTTGTTTTCACGCTTTTTGTATCTTGTTTGTTCTTCCTAGTGATGTATCTGCCTCATAAAGAGGACAGATTTTACACATTATTTCAAATGGCTTTCCAAATTCCAGTGAAGGAAGTCTGGCTAGATACTTTTTTACCTTTCTGTGAAATCTCAAGTCTTTTAAAAAATGTAGCCATGATGTGCATCCTGTATTAATGGGTTACTCTTGCCTTTGTAGAGGTAGAAAACTGTCACTTGGAAGTGCTGGTTGTTTTTGAGATGTTCTAAAACAGTGGAAAGATGTTTGTTGGGAATCAGCTGTTCCAAAGTACTTCATGTGACCATAACTGAAGGGAGTATAACTTGGGCACTTGCTTCTATTAAGTTTTGTATCCTGGATAGAGGGCTTAAGTGCAAATTTTGACCTACATTATTTATTACTTGTTTAGCTCTTCAATGGGAATAACTGTATTTTATATGTAACTCTGCCAAGAAACAGACAGGTTAACATCATATAAATAGAAATGTACCAGATAGTTTTTTGACATGACCTTTCAGGAATCTAAACTCTAAACTGATGAATGAACGCTTTGTATTTTGCTCCCCTTTTAAATGTCTTGTAAGTTCTTAAATGTAAAAAAAAAAAAAAAGTAGTAGTATTGCATATGTATAGCAGTATTTGGTCTCAGTAAATGTGGAAACTCCAGCTTCTTAAACAGACTTCTAGAAATAGCTGTTTCCCAACTATTTCATATCAGAATTCTAGAAATAGCTGTTTCCCAACTATTTCATATCAGAATTTCATACTGCTTATATAAAATTTACTTAAGGAAGTAATTAAAAAAATGCAAGCAAATTTTTAGCATATGCATTAGAATTATATTTGAAAATACACTGTACTTACTGATTCTAAAGATACAAGTAGTTGTGTTACACTTAGTTTCTGGATTGTCTTTTATCTTGACTTAGTTATTGGGTCACAAAGGGGTCATCAAGCTGCTGGTTTTGCAACATATATTACTGTTACTCTTCAATTTCTTTGGGTTGTGATAGCCGTTCTGACATTGGGAAGATTTGTAAAGAAGTATTTGGTTGCAACAAATACAAAAATACTGTCTATCTTTTCAATCAGTTCTTCCTCTTGAAGAGTTCAGGAGCAAGATAAACATGTAATGCAGAGTTTCTGTCTTTTTAGTGATGTTGGTTATCCTGAAGAGCTGCTATATTATGTAAAATAAAAGATTTCAGCTGTTTATTACAGGTTCAAAATTAATAGCAAAAAAATATTTATATGAGTTTTAGAATTTTCCTGATATTCAAACTTCTAAACGTAACGTCCAGACACTGAAGCATAACAAACTCCAAAATATTTAATGGAAAATTTAGTCATGTTAATAGATTAAGGATGAGGGAGGTGAGAGGAACTTTTGAAACAGTTTATAATTTAAAGAATTATCAGTCTTAAAGACTCACTGCTGTGTTTTAAAGTCATTAAAATCACAGAGAAGCCTGGCATCTATTCGTTGCTACAAGTTATATTTGGTTACTTCTCGCTGCATTAAGTGACTTTTCTTTAGCTTTGTGTAAACTGAGCTGAGGGTGTAGAACAGTTTTATGTAAAGATGTTCTAGTGAGTGTGATCTGTACATAATATTGCTGTTGTCTTTATGCCAATACAAATTTGTAAATATCCTTGTTATAGTTTTGCCCTTTCTTATTTTCTTGTTAGCTGTGGATCAGTTGAATGCCTTGTTCTATTATTAAAAAAAGGAGCAAATCCAAACTATCAGGACATCTCAGGATGTACTCCTCTCCATTTAGCAGCAAGAAATGGGTAAGTTTTTAAAATGCTTAAACTCTTAAAAAATTTTCTGCATGACGTACTTGAGCTGGCATGTTCTGTAATATTTTTGCATGGTTCATAAAAACACCTTTGGTTTTCACGTTTGAAAATAGAGAACATGGAGGTTAAAATCCTTAATCTGAGTATTCATAGAATAATTTTTTATAAATAGTAAGTCATGTCTAAAATACCAATTGTAGTGCCAGTCATTTTAATGTTTTCTGTTTATCAGGGGCATAATGATTCTTAGAACAGTAATTGAACAAGGGGTACATTCACCTTCCAGTTAGCTGGAAGGTGAATTTAGCTTTCTTTTTAGTAAGAAAAGGTTTTGGAGGGCTTGGTGAGGGTGGGGGATGGGGTCAGAGACTTCTGATTTTTCTAAGATAGTGTCTTTAAGAAAATTTTCCTTGCAAGAAAAGGAGTACAAAGTTGGCCTGCACAGTGTTAGGAGAGGGATAGAGAAAAAGCCAAACCAGTGAGCAAGTACCTTTTTAAGATCCTCCTTCTTGAACTGTGGTGTGTGAAAACATGCAGCTGTAAAGGTAATGTTGTCTTTTTCTTTTTAGAACATGTATGTGATCCAGTAACTAATTGTATCACAGCTGGTACTTCACATGAGGAGGTGATAGTGTTTAGTGGCTTCTGGGTATTTGTAGGAGAGGAAAGAAGCAGCCAAGTGGTGTATGATGAAATGCAGAAATGTGCACAGGGGACAGTTATGTAGAAATGAGGTATAAGAAAGTTGTGAAATTTTTTATTTTACAAATAAAAAGGAAAAGCAAAATAAATTTGTAAAGGTAAAGCACTTAGAGCATTAAAAATGTTAAACCAAACAAAACATGAATTAGGAAAAAAATTACTTCTACTTTTATTAAGATAGTACTTGTCTTAAAGTATTAATCCTACCAAAGATTTGCATAGTTCTACAATGACTGTCTCATTAAGTAATGATTTAGTGAACATCTTCACTGACACATACAGGTGACAGTGAACTTGATGGATTTCTGTTAGCTGAAGTCTGGCTTTTTTGTCATTCAAGTTCATGCAGTGCTGAAACTATAAGAGTTATGGTTAAGTGCTTCTGCACTTTGCAGAAAAACAGCTATGATTGTAGCCCTGTATCGTTGTTTGCTACCCTTGCACTGTCTTGAGTCTCTGTGATCACTTCTTTCTTTCACATGCTTGGAAATGTACTCCTTGTAAACTGGAACCACCTGCTATGCTTAGAACAATGATAAATTAGCGTGAGTGGAGCTCTAAGAAGATATTTAGTCTTCGTAAGTGATTTTCCCTGACTGAATTTTAATGTATTCTTTTGCTTATAGCCAGAAAAAATGTATGAGCAAGCTGCTGGAATACAGTGCAGATGTCAACATTTGTAATAATGAAGGCTTGACTGCAGTAAGTGCTATTAATTGTCATGATGTTCTTAAAATGAATGAAGAATTTGGAGATTCTTGGTTTTTAAGCTTTTGCCATCTTACATGTAAAACAAAACTGCTGTGTCTCCAGTGCCATCAAGAATCAAATGATGTGATCAAAATACCTAAGCATATGATTGGATTGTTCAAAGCTTCTCTTAATATTATGCAAAGCTTGCCTTTGTGAAAATGTTGACAATAATACAGCCAGGTTAAAAATCATTTTTATGGGATATATATGTCATTGCTAAATAAGAAGTGTGTGACGTTGCTAAAAATTGCTAAAAGAAATGTGTGTCATCATTTTAGATTCATTGGTTGGCTGTCAATGGACGAACAGAATTGCTTCATGATCTTGTTCAGCATGTCAGTAATGTAGATGTTGAAGATGCCATGGGACAGACAGCCCTTCATGTAGCTTGTCAAAATGGACACAAGACAGTGAGTTTCTAAATTGTATGAACACAATAACTTGGTAGTGCCTCAAAGTTGTTGTGGTTTTCTTACAAACTTCAGAGTGGAAATGCACATGATAATGGTTTACAGGTATGAAGAGTGCTGTTGTGTCTTAGTATCGACTGCATATACTTCCATGGGAACAAGTTATTTATTCTTGTGAAGGTGATTGATGTCAGTGCTTATGGACATTCAGGTGACTTACTGTATACTGTTCAGCTCTTCTGTAGTGCTATTATTGGCTTGTTAAAATTTTTATGTAATGTTAAGTGTTTGAAAATGTTTTTCCTTATTTTTCAGAATATGTTTAATTCATAATTGTGCAAGCTATTATATGATTTTGAAATCTGAAATATTAATTCACTGCGAGTAAAAAATGAAAACAGAGTTGGATCAGTTACAATTTTTACTCTGAAAGTAAAGAAGTTCAAATAAACTCTTCTGTTACTGATCTGTGTGAATAATTTTTATGCCTGGCCTTGCATTAGGGCTCACTATTTTTATTCAGAGTGCAAGTCTGGATGCTTTACTTGAACTGCATTAGAGCCCTATAGTTATACAGATTGCCACCAGAATTACTTACTGCTAAAAAGAATAAATTCTACCCAGGTTCTTTCTGTTGTCCTTGTCAGTGCTGATTTTGGAAGGCCAAATCCTGAAAAACTGTTACCTATAAACGTAGCAAATTTATGTGACTGACGTGTAACAAAGGCTTGACAGTCTGCTCAGTGTTTTCATATTTTAGACATGCACTGAATAGTTGCAAGCCAATAGGGTTTTCCACTGCTCTTTCTCTAAAACTTCTGATTTGTTCTCTTGTAGACGGTGCAGTGTTTGCTGGACAGCGGTGCAGATATAAACAGGCCGAACGTTTCTGGGGCAACTCCGCTTTATTTTGCTTGCAGGTTATAAACTTAACTTTTGAATACTGGCCTAAAAGTGAAATATTTTTTCCCCTTTTGCAATAGCTGATTAGAAATTACAAATTAGAGGAAATATAAAAGCTGACTGGTATTTAATCTTGTCTCATTTTTGAGTGTAGTTTGGTGTCTTATCTAAGTACTTAGGTTAGTACTACAGGCTTATGTACCTCTTTCTGACAGACATGTTAAACACATACCTGTGCATGTTCTAGCATGAATCGTAACATGATGATTGCTGAACCCTTTTCTGAAAAAATTAATTCTACCAACTTAGATTATTTTGAGTACACTGAATATAGAGCCTTCAATAAGGCAAGTTTGGCTATTCCTCAATGTACACTATGGTATTACAGTATACATGAAATGTGCATGTATGTGTTAAAGTTACAGTGTTGAATTAAAATTACATTGTTGCTTTGATCAGTTCTGTTTTATTCAAAGTTTAGTTATATTTAAAAATTAATAATATATAAAATATTAACCAAATATTATGTCAATATCAAGTATTAATCATATATCATATCAGCATATGATAAATGATATTTTGTTTTAATTAGAACATTTCTGTGATTTGTTAGAACATTTACAATTTTTGCAATCCTTGTGCTTTGGTTACAGGTTAAATAGTTCACATAAGATTAACTGTTCCTATAAGCAAAAGGAGAAATGGACTGACCTTCTGACCTGCTAAGAGTTTTGTTCTGGGAGCCGTGGTCTCTGGAGATAGTGTATGTTGACTTGTGGCAGATGAGAAGAAGGGAAGTGGAGAATAAATAGCTGCTAGCCTTGGTCCTTGATTTAGGGACTGGTATTTGTATTCACTTTAAAGAAGTAAGCAGCTTGTCTTGGCTTGAAGATTTTTCATAAGAAGGGAATGTGACAAGTGCAGGAGTCATATTCTTTAGAAATTGTCAACTGGAGCAGCTGGCAGGATAGAATGACCAGAGCATGTACTACAGCAAACCTGAAAAGAAAGGCTGTAGGTCCCTGGTGGCCTACAAGGAGGGCAGGATGTAGTACAGTGGCAGGTGATAGCTGCAGAAAGGTATTCAAAATTTGTGTCTGAAATACCTGTTTTGTCAATGTATTGGGTTGTACTTAGTCTAGAGAATTACAGTGAACGTTACAGTAGGCCATTAGTCTTAGCTCCTTTCTGACCCTTAATGTTTGCTTGCATTGAGACAAAGTCTGGTACCTGTTGCCTTCCTGGGCTGGAAGGACAGGACTGAGAAGAACTCATCAGGAAGCTCTTGAGAGATCAGTGAAGCTACCTCTTGCCCCTCAGCTGTTAGTTGTCACTTTAGCTGTGCCCTTTCTGAACTGATAGGCTGTACCTATCAGGCTGAGGATGCAGGCAGCCTCTTAAATATTCCAGGATACCAAGTACTTATATATATTGATGTAAAAGGTGTACTGCAAACTAGCTTGAGAAATAAAACTTCACTGAAAAAACTTGTATCTGTAACTCTGTAACTTTAATTGCTATATCTTTTTTATTAGTTTTTCATTTCACTCTTTAGATGCTTCTCTGTTAGGTTTGGCAGTATTGCACTTAATGCTGATGAAGGCAATATTCAAGTAATTTTTCCATGTGTTTTTAATGAGGTAAATCTCTGATCACTGGTACTCAGTTTCTCATTTTTTTCAAAAGAAAGGGTTTGGGTAAGTGTTCAGAAGTATGAATAGTTTTCTAGGCAATGGTGGCATGTTGGGAAATGTTAAATTCAAGGGAACTAAGGGTCCTATACAACCTGTAAGCAGCTTAGTGAATAGACTGTGAAATAGTCTCTGAATGCAAAAGTAAAAGTCATCACTTCTAGAGGCTATGCAAGACATTTATATATAGAAATTAGAGCCATTTGAGTGATGCATTTATCTCTTGTGCAAAAAAAAATCAATAAAAATATCTGGCTAATATTTTATTGATGGTTAAAGCACAATTAGATTGTTTTTCCCCAAATATGGTAGAAGTGAGTAAAGAGCTTGGCAAAGAGAGCTTCCTCTGTGAAGTAAATTAGGATGTAAATTGAGAAAGAGCTCTCTTTTTGCAGGAAATGCAGCTCATAAATATTTGAGGCAAGACTAAGATGAATCATTTCTGAATGATGAGGGTGACTCTGGCTTCATAAATGGCTTGAATTCTGCACTGCTCTTTTGCTGTAACTATTTTCTTCTAACTTATGTTGGTTTTATTTGTTAGATGCAATAAAATCATTTGACTCATAATAGACCATAAATGCTGTATTAAATGTCTTTCTTCTCTTCTTCTGAATAGCCATGGTCAGAGAGACACTGCACAAATTCTTTTGATGAGAGGAGCCAAGTATTTACCAGACAAAAATGGCGTTACTCCACTGGATCTCTGTGTACAGGTATTAAGTTAGCAGTGCTTTTTCTGTGAATTTCTGTGATTTACTACTCTGTCACCTGATAATTTTTACCTTTTCTTATTCTTATGGCCTCTGAAAGATGGTAGTCCTTTGGCAAAACAAGTGCAAAACATGATTTTTTATCATGAAATTGACCCTACAGGCAGGTTCATAATTTCTACCCTTTGCATAAGTCAGATGCAAAATTGACCTCATGAGAAAGAGTTTCCAGAGCTCCATTTGACTAGAAAGTTTGGGATTGCTTGGTGTAATGGTAGTAGACAATTTAAGAACTTACCTGTTAAAAGGTAAGAGGCAAAGGCATGCAGAAAGAAGTGATTTTTTTTTTTTTTTGTACCTCAAATAATAGGTGTTCTTTTCTCTTGAGGAGATGTTGCTATTAAAAACAAACAAAACTTACATGATGATGACTCTTATTTTTCAAAGATATTTCTATATCTGGATGAGGAGCAAAATTCTTCCATATTTTCAGCTAACACAGCATTTTCAACTGCAAAACAGTCTGTCTTGTTTAATACCAAGTACTGCTTGTACTGCTTGCTAAAGTGACTTTTTTTGATATTTGAACACTTACACTTCTCTCTGTCAGATCAGTTGAATGTCATTGTGTAAATAACACGATTGTATGGAAGCTTTTTAACCTTTGCTAGTAATCAGACTAGAAAACTGAACTGAAAGCTGAAAAAGCCAAATCACTGGAGTGAGTGGGTGTCACACTACCTTTGTGCAGGTTATTAGCTTGTCGGGATAAAGTTGAAATTTTCAATTTTTTTTTTCTGTATTTTCAGATTATTTCAGCCTCCAATTATTTAATTTCTGAAGTGCCTGCATTTGCCTAAGATTTGCACTTGAAATAGTTGTATGTGCAAGAGTGCTGTCTCCAGTACCTCTAGGATATTTTTGGAATATTTTACTCTGAAAGCTGTATTTCATAGACTATCTGTGGAAGACCTTGATCCAGTTAGGTTACTTACAGTATTTCTTTTTGGATATAAGAAACCAGCTAAGTCCTCAGCTCTGGTCACTGAGAAGTGCCAGATCACTATACTCTCCCACTGCTGACTTGATTGTGAAACTCAAGAGTTAGATTTTTTTTCTTTGTTATTGCAGAATGACTTACTGTTACATAAAGCCACATGGAGTCTGAACAGCCACAAGACCTATAAGATAGTATATGGCAGAAGAGGCTTAGACTAGATATTAGGAATAAATAATTTCTTCATGGAAAGGCTATAAAGCATTAGAGAAGACTTCCCAGGGAAGTGGTGGAGTCTCTATCGCTGAATGTGTTCAAATTGTGGATATGGCACTTGAGGATGTGGTGTAGTGGTGTACATAGGGGTGGTGCTAGGCTGATGTTTGGACTTGATGGTCTTAATGGTATTTTCCTACCTAAATGATTCTGTGATTCTAGGCCAGTGCGTGCTTAATGGTACAGTTATTTTTTTTTTATTAATGTTTTGAGTTTCTACTTCAGTCTCCAGTTTTGCAATTCCTAGGGTACCTCTTTACACATAAAACTGCTGTTAACTTTTTTAGATGTGAGTAGTGACACCTGGTGTTTGTTTTGTAGTGATGATCTTACTGTGTTTGAGATCATGCAGTATACAAGTTCATGATGCCAAGTAAGAATGGAGAAAACAATATCTTTTCTTTCTTTTTACATTGAAGGTTTTATTCTATGCTTGCAGGTTTGTTTTTCAAAGTTGATACATGTTTTTAAAAGACTGAAATTATAGATTAATATGCTTTTTGCCAACATTACCTTGATCTTGAAGATTTGACTTTCATTAATTCTTACAGATTCTGGGTGGGTTTATTTTTAATACTTAATTTCTTGGTACCAGAAACAATTAAATTAATCTTTTTAATGTATGGTTTTTACTGAGGTAATGTCAGTTGTCATTCAAAGAGGAGTCCCTGGAGTTGCAGCAGTTAATACATTATATGGTCATCTTCTCAGAGTAGAAGTTGATGCATATTCAGGTGTTAGGTGTCTGCTTAAAAATGCAGCTGTGTTAAATAAGGTTTATTTGATACAAATAAACCACAAAATCAAGTTCTGTTCTTTACAGAAAACATTTTTTTCTCAGAAGTGTGTGAAGTTAGCCTAACCCGCAAGTGGATTCATACCTCTGTATTGATTTTAAAGTTAAATAACCCTTTCATGGCTTTATCCTGTTTCTTCTTGTAACAAGTCAGATATGTGTCCTATGAACCTTTAGAAAATTTTTTGATTTTTGAAGGTTTAAATTCTGAGTGTAATTAAGTAGATGTCAGCAAGAGGAAGAGAAGTGAAATATTGCACTATTTTTAATCTCTGGTAATTGATGGCTGAAATGCTGTTCAACTGTACCTTTAGTTTGGTAAGTAAGAAAATGTTTCAAAAACCAGAAAAATGGGAGTGGATATATGTGAGCCAGTATACTGAAAAAAGTTTGATTCTGTCTTCTCCTGATGAACATTTTGGGATACCTAACTTTGCTACGTTTTTGAATTTCAATTTATTTTAGAATAGGATTTCACCATCATTAAAAAAATACTGTAATCCTTAAAAGATGTTATTGCCCGTAATAGTTTAACTCTCAATTCTGATGTTTCTTTTAATTAAAATGTTTTCTTAGGGTGGTTATGGAGAGACTTGTGAAGTTTTAATACAGTACCATCCTCGGCTTTTCCAGACAATAATCCAAATGACACAGAATGAAGAGCTGCGGGAAAACATGGTAATACAGGGGGTTCTGTGTTTTATAGCCAGGGGTCTCTGTGTGGAGAGATCTCTCTGTGGAGAACCAAGTGCTTAATATGAGTAGCAATCAGTACTACTAGTAGTTGACCACTGGGTATCTTTCTTTCCTCATGGAAAATGTACTGACTTCATATAATTTTAAAAACAAGAACTTGGAATTAAATGTAGGATCTGTTTTTATTTAGTGTTCTAACTTTGCACATTTGGCTAAGTGATCTAGATAGTTTAAAGAGCAGATATTGCAGGTTTCAATACAAAGGTGGTGGTAGAGCATTCCTAGAGCATCCTATATATACAATTACTTTGTGTATCAAGGCCCATTTTCTTTCATTTAGTCATTATCTGCAGACATACATTCTAGGATGTGTCTTGAGGGTGAATCATCCTGGATTAGCTTAGAAGTTTCTGGTATGAGCACTCATCTGTATGAGGTTGCCTTGTACAATTAGACTGTAAAAGATTGCAGCCACAGTTTAGTTTGATGATTATTTCTGTAGATGAAACAACTGTTTCTTTTTTAATGGTTCTCTTATATCTTGCTTCTTTGGTTATTGTGGGGTAGTGCAATCTAAAGCAAAGAAAAATCAAGGAAAAAATTTGCTTCCTTGATTGTGTAAGGGAAAAGAAGCATGGGATGCCTTTTCCCCCTTGTAAATCTAGTTTGCTGTGGGTTTTTAATACATTCTGTGTTGTAAAATGACTGCAAACAACCTTACAGACTGTAAAAAAAAATAAGATTTAGTAAGGTGTTGGCTGCCAATTTACTTAATTTAGTTTGCTAGATTTTTGACATTTTTGTTTTCTCTATGACTCCATTACTTCTACTACAACACTGAGGATTCCCAAGTCAGTGTTTAAATTTCAGAGGCAGGGTTGAGTTTTACAGAGTGACTCAGGTGAGAATTCTCAAAGTGTATGTTAGGTGCAAGGGGAGATGCTATAGGTGATTTAAATTAAAAGAGAAAGAACTAAAACAATGAAACAAAAAGACCTTTTGTATATTGTAGAAGTGAAGAAAATAAGTGAGAAAAATTCTTCATCTGTCTGAGTAATGATGGAGCTGTGTGCAAAAACAAGATCTTAACGAGAGTGTATATAAAATATATTAGTTAATGAGTGGTATAGTTCTGTTTCATTGCTGAAATGTAAACATATATTGAAAATTATTTTCTATGGCCATGTCTGAGCTTTTCTTCTTAGTCTTGGGTAATGACCAGTTCATATTTTCTGGAAGTGACAACATAAGGAAACTGGGTATGTGTTACAAGTCAGGACTCATATTTTAAATGTGCAAGTTGTTATTAATTATAAATTAATAATACAGGGTTAAGCATTCACTGTTTGTAACATTCTGTAGTGTTAAATACCCTGTGGTACATGCATCAAGTCTAGAATGTGTCCTTTTGCAGTAAGCTTTGTAAATGATTACGAAACATTAACTGAGGTTAGATTAGAAGTTGTACAGTATAGAAGTGCATTATTATTGTTCGATATTACTTGCTGGGTAAAAGTGTTCTACATAACTGATAAATTATTGTTGATCTGGTGTTCCTTGACACTTGATGCTTTTGTTTTAATCCTTCAGTTGCGGCAAGTTCTGGAGCACTTGTCTCAGCAGAGCGAAAGCCAGTATCTTAAAATTTTGACAAGTCTTGCTGAAGTTGCTACAACAAATGGTCACAAATTGCTCAGGTAAGTGTGAGGTCACAAGTTGATAAACTACCTGGCAGTTAATATATAATAGTAACTATTAAGTTAGCCACTTAATAGTTTTAATAGTCCAAACTGTCTGATGGATCTGAAATCTGATTTATATGATAATGGCTGTTTAGATCACTGTTTTCACAAAGACTTCAAGAGAGAAAGTTAGTGTCTTTGTATAGCTGCTGGTATCTAGAAGCTTGAGTTGCAGAAAAGTGTATTTTTTGTTTGGTTAATTCGGCTATGTCAGCCCTAGGAAGAGAAGCTTTTTAGGCAACTATCAAATAATTTTTTTTGTCTTCACCCTTCTCACTTTTTCTTCCACATTTTTACTTTTCTACGTGCTTCCTTAGTATGCTTGAGGAGAGTTTTCTGACTTCAGACACCTGTATCATGTTTGCTGGCTCTGGTTGCCTTACATGGCTACTAATATATATGAGATAAAAAATTTCCTTTACCAGTGTGCTGTATCAGCAGCACAAGCAGCAGTAACTTGGGGAAATGCATGGCACAGGCGAACATATTTACTTGGTATGCTTTCCTAGTTTTTGTGGCATCTGTCTGAAGTTGTGCAAAACACTTTGTCTGCAATTTGTTGGAACATTTTACTGTTTTCAACTGCTAACAGGTTTTGGTGCAACCTTTATGTTTTGGGTGGCATTTGAAAGATTTGAGAGTGGTCTGTAATCAGAGAAACCTATCAACATTGGTTGTAGAGGATTATGACTTGAGAAGCTTCTTTTTAACTTGGGCTGGCATCTGAGGAGCCCATCAGTGAGACAGAAAATAAATAGTATATTCTTATTCCTAGATGGCTTTATTTCCTTCCCCATTAGTCATGTTACATTCAAATGGAGCTTGTAGATAGCAGGTCAGAACTTCTGGATGATGGTAGGGAATCCATTACACCCGTAACAAACCAGATTCTGGTGGGTGTTCACTTTGATGAATTAATGTGAAGGTCTGAATCCCTTTAAACTTTGGGGTTAAAGTGTGTAGACATTAATGAAATTTTGTTGTTGCAAAGATAATTTATTGAAGAATTTCTGCTGTTGCTGAGCTTCAGTGTGTATCAGCTTAACTTGTAACACATTGCTTTTTTTGTCTCCAGACTTCCTTAGAGGCAGTAGACTTCCCACAAATAAATGGTTATAAAGTGCAAAAAACCATAGTGCAGGAAAGGGTTTCAAACTTGCTCTGTATAGGGACATTATTGCAAGTTGTGGTAGGTTGGTTACATCATATGAGGCAATATTTGTTTCTGTTTCAGTGTCTTCAGAGGTAAATTAAAAGGATTTGTTACTATTACTGCTCTTCTGATTTGAGCAGCACTCCCTCAGTGTGGATATAGAAAAAGTAGCTCTGTGTCTCTACTGTCTCTGAGTTTGAGCCACCTTATGCTCCTACACTGCTGTGTATGGGTGGGCTAGTGGAAGCTGAAGGGAAGATCGAAGGGTTGCATTGCATTGCCTGAGGACTCATTTCTAGAGATGCCAGTACTTGGAGTGTCCTGTGGACTCTTACTGGCGAGCTTCTGTTTGGTACTCTGTAATATGTCACAACAGAAATGTGATTGCAAAAGAAAACAATTCCAAGACACTTTCACAGACACAGTTTTGCAAAAACTGTCTCTCTCTTCAGCTTGGTTTCCTGGCAGAAGCAGTCAATTTCTACTTCAAGAAATATTTCTCAGTTGCTTTCTTATAAACAGAGTGAGCATTAAGGTAGCATTTGGTGAATACCCTGAACTTGGGCTTCTTTCTTCTTTCTCCCACTTCCAGCAAAAGTGTGTAAAATGTACTTTGTACATGAAATACTCCAATAATGATATTCTTGCATGGCTGAGCTATCATCTCTATTAGTTTCCTGGGTACTAATCCACAGCATATTGCTTTTGGGTTTGTCTGTTGTTTAGTTCAAAAGTATCTAAAATTGTTTCTTGTAATGCTTCTAGCAAGTATTCAGGAGGATTTGGTCTTGCTGGTGCAGGTTAGGCATAGCTGAATGTTTGCAAACATGCCAGTAGAAGTTTCAGTAAACTATTAAAAACCCTCTAAGGTTTTTCTATATATGTGAGTCCTTATCCTGGAGACCAGGATAAGCATAAGGACCAGAATAATGATAAATTTCACCAGGAACACTGCTGCTGAGACATGATAAACTTCAGTCAAAATGTTAGTAGTCTATCTTTTTATTTTTTCTTTTTTTCAATAGTTAACTTCTTGAGCTAGCTTCTTGAATTCATAGATTCTTTTGGTATATAAGCCAAGATTTTTACAAATGCTGATTTTTAGGTGTGATGAGAGCCTCTGGTAACACAATTGCTGACTGCCAGTCAGGGGATTTTCTTTATCTGGTTAAAAACTTAATATTCCTACTGTAGCACTGTTTACTCTCTCTGTTCCTTTCTTATATTGATTTACTGGAAACCTACCTGGTTAAAGTGTAAATTGGCACAAGAAAGTCATACTTTGTATGGTAGTTTGGTAAAATTCTAGCTACATTGCTTTTTAAAGTTAACTCACAGTCATTAAAATGTAGTGCTGAAAACAAATAGGTCTTTTGCTGATGACTTAGGATGAATGAGATCATAATAAAGCTGTGCTAGCTGTTACAACTGCCTGTGTTTCAGGTTTGTGAATTAACAGATTATTAATTGCAACAGACGTTTACAGCATCCTATAAGATGTCAGTTTTCTGGTGTTTACCAGTCTCTGGCTGGGAAGCATGCTTTTAAGTTGCAAATACTTCAAGGACATAATTGAATATGTGCTCACTTTTATAATATTTATAAGTTGGTAGGTTTTGATAGAAAAAGAATTAATTTCTTGCAGTTTGTTATGAATTCAAGACAGAGGAATTCTTTCTACTTGGGGTTTAAGAAAGAAAAGCAGGTTGAGTTTGGTGGAGAATGTTCTGCTTGTGCAGAAAGTCATGAATATCTCATATTTTGCACTGGTTTTGGTACAGAGTTCAGTGTTTGCCAATTCAATTAAGGAGACATAAAACTTTTAGTATTATTTGTTGGAAAATAAATAACATAGTGGTGGTTTTGTTTAGTATCTTTTAGATTATGTTTTTCCTTCAGTAGAAATAGTAGCATCCTTAACATCCTGATCCCTTGTCTGGTTGAGGTAGTTAATGAGCATCTTGAATAATAGCTGGTGAGCATGGGCTGTGGCAGCATATCTGATCAGTCAGTAGGCTTTTACTGTTGGATGCTCTCTTTTGGGTTGAAAAACATTTTCATCTGGATATCCCAGTTTACTTCATGCCCTGAGATTCTTTCTGTAGGAAGCTGAATTTCCTCCTAGGGGTTCATAAGAAGTGCATTAAAAAAAAAAAAGGAAGTATTTTTAAAGATCTGGGATTTGCTGTTCTTACTTCTAAGTTAAAATTACGTGTTAGTGAAATCATAATGCTTATTTGACTTCTGGGGCTGGTGCAGGAAATGAAAGTTAAAATTTACTAGGGTTTGAAGCTTAGGGTTTGTTTTCAGCATGTTTATCACACCCTACCATTAGATTGCTTACTCCTTATTATACTAAATTGCTTCATCTAGGAAAAGAAACTTAAACATTCCATTTTTTTCCCCCAGCTTGTCAAGTAATTATGAAGCTCAAATGAAGAGTCTCTTAAGGATCGTGAGGATATTTTGCCATGTGTTTCGCATTGGCCCATCCTCTCCCAGTAATGGAAATGACATGGGCTACAATGGAAATAAAACTCCAAGAAGTCAGGTGTTCAAGGTCAGAAAAGTATATGATGTTGTTAGGAAGATAGACGTTAAAGAGATGAATTTCACAAAGCATGCATTCATTAATCAGACATCTCATGAACAGGAAGTAAGTTTGGTTGATGTCTCTATCCCTTTTTAAGTTAAACCTACCTTTCTCCTCCTGTATTTTTTTTCCCCACTGAATTAGTTCATTTAGTCACTGATGCACATCTCATGTTATGATTTCTGTTTATTTCTTATTTAATAGATTGTTTATTAGGTGTTGAAGGTTTAGTTACCCAGGTGACTTGGGTAAATTTTGTTTTTATTTCTGTTAAGAGTATAGTAATCTCAAAATATGGTGATATTAATGTAATAGATTATATTAATATAATTGGAAAATGGTAGTTGGAGATACACAGATGGAGTGCTGATCAATAAGCTTTATCCAGCTGCGCAAGATAAATGAAAACAATTGAATTTTTGATCTGTTTGTTGTTCTCACTGTGATCATGAAATCTTTTCCCAAGTTGTTCTGGGATTTTCTTATTATGTGCTTTGAAACATATCAGCTCATTACTACAGTTGCAAGGTTATTGATTTATATCTGCTTTCAAACATGTGCTTAAGATGATTGTCATATAGAGATTTAGTTCCTGAAGGTGTTTGGTGTTTCTATGTTTGTTTGTTAAGGAATCCCTCTGTTAAGGAATCCCTCTGTAGAAAGTCATAGATAACCTTTTTGTAAAGAAGCCCCAGTTGCCTGTGTGCCACAGTCTTCATTGGATATACAGCTGCCATACTTTTCAGAGCACTTAATAAAAAAGAACTGCAGGGTAATTTTTCTTCTCCATCTTACTCCATATTCTTACACAGCACAGCTCATATCAAGAAATTTAGATGCCAGTAATTACTTGAGGATTTTTCTTTACCTTTGCATTTCTTCTACTGTGGTGCAAAAACAGTATTTTGAAATTACTGCAATTATTTGATGGTATATGTTCATCAGGATACTTCTAAGGGCTTTTAAGACAAAGCTGTTTTGGTGAGATCATGGAAGATGATACTCTTAATTCCAGTTTATTTAGTGAAGTATCTCATTTTTTATTTAAATTTCTTTTCTTGAAAATAAGAAAAGAATTAGGCTGTTAAAAAAACCCAAAAAACATGTAAGCATAAGTATTTGTTCTTCTGGTATCACAATAGTTTTAAGAACAAATTGATTTATATAATGAATATAAACTAGTACTTGAGTCTGAACAATACTGTGTGCAAAATGTAAAGCATTGTACATGGTGCAATGTAATAATTGTCCTTTGGAATTGTTCATCAAAATAGGGCAATAATGTGGGTTTAACCAAAATTCTGTTTTTAAAAAACAGAGCTCTACCCAAACCACAAGAATTATTTTATTAAAGGCAGCACTTTCTAACAGTTTTAATGAAAATTGCTCCAAGTATACCAGATTAAATAACAAGCAGATGTTAAAAACACTTCATATGAGAGCTATCTCCAGTGAGATATTCTACTACCAAGCCCAAAAAGGAAAAAAATGAAGGTTTCCTTCTTTTCAACTCCACATAATTTCAGAACTCAGTATAAAATAAAGAAAAATATTCAATTGCAATTTGCAGAGGAGGTGTTGTATCAGTAGAATCGCTTATCTGTGTGCTCAGATGACTTTGTATGATGAAAGAATTGTCTCTCAGTTTACTCTGCATTTAAGTCTTGTGCAGTAGACTTATATTAAACAACTGTCACAGTTGTTCCAGAAAATATCAGTAATTCTTCCTTGAGTGAAGACAATATGTATGTTTTTAATAAATAAGCAAAATGTATACTACTGTTGCATTATGTAACAAAACAAAAATTTTAGGACAATTTAAAAATTACTATTGCAATTATTGTAATTTATTTAGAAGTTTTGAGTGAGGTAGCCCTGCAGTAGGGCCACTCTTGTGTCCACGGTATTTTAAAGATTAATTTAAATTTCAAACTCAGAAATATAAAACTGCTGATGAGAACTTATTGTTGTTTGGGAATGGGCACGCAGGTCTGGCAGTGTTATTTAATCTCCAGTTGTGGTTGGTTTAGTCTGTTCTTCCCTGAGTTTATGGTAGACTGGGTAGTGGGAGATTAGATGTAGTGCTGAGTGAATTGGGTGACTTCCAGTTTTCTCTTCATCCTACCTTTCTTTCTGCTTTTTTTGTCCTTTCTTTGTAAATGTACTTATGATAGTCTTTTTCACCTTTTGGGAGGAGATAAAAAAGACCTGACTTTTCATAATGCTTCATTAAATTTCTCTGTATCATTTTACTCATTGAACATCTTTTGATGAGTTGTCACTGTAATGTTGCTGAGAAGGGATTAAAAATGTGAGTATTCTTGATCTGAGCCTACTGAAGAATGTTACTGCTTGACAAGGTCAAGAAAATCACAGGGCTATCTGTGCTTTATATTTTAGGCTTTAAATATTTAGGAATTCTCTGTATGTGATTCAGGCCTATCCAGGTGCTTTAAAGTGGAAGCACTAGCTAATGATAACACATTCTTGTACTGATCCTGTAAGATACAAAAAAAGTCATTGAATTTTGTCTCCCAAGCTTGAAACAAGCTGCTAACTCAAATGAGTTCTTACCAGTGAGAAACTTTGAGTAGTAATTTTGACCAGGTTTACGGTCATTACTTTTCCATGTATTGCTCTTCCAATTTCTGTTCAGTGTTATCACATATTAAGGAAACTTGCTGCAAAATTTCTCTGTAATTGAATAAGGTTGGGAAGTGCTTAATGTTTTTATCTTGTTTCAGATACTGTTCTTTTCTAGAATTGAGGTAACTTCTCTGCTGTGACAGAGTCACTTCATGGATTAGAGACCTCCTGCACCCTGTGTCTTAAAAAGCTATCTGACATCTGGCAAAAGATTTTGCTTCAGTGTTGCAGTTTGAATATGGATTTGGTTACTGGTCTTGCTTTCTAGATGAGTAAAGAGGAAGGCATTGTTTGCATAGGTAAATTCTTGTGTTTGGGAGGTAAGGTGTGCAGCTATAAAAGCTTGGTACTCCATCAGACTTGGCTGTATCATCTAGAGAAACTTTTCTGCACTGCGAAATATGACATCTGAAGTTTGAGTGAAGGTCTTTGTTTAATATGGGGTTCATGGTAAGAATTGACTGAAAAATGCTAACTAGTACTTTGAAGAAAACATTGCGAGTGGTTTGATGGAATATGTCTGTATGCCACTTAAGAAGGTCTGGTCATGGAAGCCAACATAAAATGCTGACAGTTGTGGATATTGAAGTGATGGGCAATATTTAGTTGTTGTACATCCTGGAATTGGACTGGAAAGAAAGAAAATGAAATGTTATAGCTGCTGTGCTTGACTAGACTTTTGAATGAGTTTATAATCAGAAGCTGTGAAGAACTAGCTTTGGAAAAACAAATTGAGTGGAAAAGTTCTGAAAGGTGTGCTAAATCTGTGGGAAATAAAAGACAAACCACAGGGGAATATGGTGTCTGGCAAGCTAAACATTGAAAAGTATGAGAGAAAAAACCTAGATTTTAGTGTTCTACTAAATAACTAGTTTTTCCTGAGTTACAGATTAAGAGTACAGATGCATTTCAATTCTTCAGTGTGTTCCATTAATCCTATTTTCCATCAGAAAGTTTTTTTACTTTGTATTTTGTGGTAAAGGTCTGCCAGATAGGTCTTGGAAAGAGGATAAGTTGATCCTGTATGGCAGACAGTTATGTAGAAAATACTGCTTGCGCTGGAGGTATTCAGATCACCATCTAGAGAAGTACATAGTCACTAGGAGCATAAGCATTACGTTATTATTAATAAGCATTAAGTGATAACAAAGTATTGAGCAAAGCCTACAAGTATTAGAGATAAGGGTGGCTTTCCCCCACACTCCTACTGGGGAAAAATGGAAGTGTAGTGGTAAATTTTTAAATGGTGAATTTCAGCAGAATCTTTTAATACACAGCTCTTATGAGAAGTAATTTACTGTGTATTGAGAGCGTGTCAGCTATGAGGTGCTGACAGTGCTCTAGATAGTGTACAGATGCTGTGAGCAGCTCTTTATTTTCAAAAGCAACCTGAGAACATAACTTTCAGTGTTTGCTAAGTCTTTGAATGTTTTCACTGGTGAAAAATGTTGATGCAACAGTAATACATGGAAAAAGGACTCCATTAAGAAGTTCACTCCTACTTTTGTAATGCTGTGAAGTACTAGAGTTGATGGCCTCCCTGTAGGAATCATATCCCTGTGCTCACTAGACTGTAGGCTTGTGAAACAAGCCTTTAAACACCATTAAGGGACAGGCCAGTTAGCCCTTATGGATTTTGTTATGCTCATGAGAAGGGCACAGGCCTTATCCCTTTTTCTTCCGTGTAGTAGGCCTGCAGCTTACAGTAGGTGTGTAATGAGGGAATTGTACTGGATTTCAATTATATTGGGCTTTAGCTCACATTATGCATAAAGCACATTCTTACTAGACATGTGCATGAACCTGAATCTCAGTGGTGTTATCTGGGATTTCCTGCATCTTCTTAGTAAAGAAAGCTCCTTTGACCAGGTTCTTCATAAAGAATTGGCACTCTCTTACTCTAGAAACTCAACCTGTGTTTCCCTGCTTGGCTGCAGTGGTTAGGCAGTAATGTGTTGTGTGAAGCCAAACAACTGGCTGTCATATAGTTCAGTTCTATACTTCTTCTGTAGTTCTTTCTAAATTGGTTTACCTTTCTTCCATCTGCTGCTTGATTTTCCTTCTATATGAAATTTTCTCTTTGTGCTGTTTGGCTACAAATGCAGAATTTTTTATGAGTATTTGCCTCTTATCTCTAACATGACCTCTAAAGGATCATTTAAAGCTTTAAAATGTGCATGATATTTATTTGCCTTAAGAGGATTATCACATTGTTAATATTGTCTAATGTTAACACGTTCTTTTTTGTCTGTTTTTTCGTGTGTTTATTGCAGCCGCTGGAACTGCTCTGGCATTCTCTGGATGAATGGCTTGTTCTGATAGCCACAGAGCTGATGAAAAACAAAAGGGACTCTGCCAACATTACTTCTATTTTATTGAAGCAAAAAGGACCAGATCACCAAGATGCTACTCCTGCACCTTCTTTTGCCACTGCAGGGACTGAGGGAAGAAAAGAGCTGTCCACTGATGCAGTTGAGTTAAAAACATATGATGTTGCTGGGAAGCAGGAAGCTTGTGCTGATTGTCAGGATGTTATCTCCATGACAGCAAACAGGCTAAGTGCTGTCATTCAAGCTTTCTATATGTGCTGTTCCTGTCAGATGCCTCAGGGGTAAGGAGATGATTCATTTTTCTTACCCAAACTATTACCATTTTAAAATAATACATACTTTCTTGGAAGAGTGTTGATACTGACCACATTGTACTAGTGACAATCAAGGTTGTGCTGTTTAATGTTTAACTAGTTCAGTTATTTGAATGTTGTTTTTTTTTAATGGTTCTAAAGGCACCAAACAGCACTGCAGGTTTTCCATAGTGCTGCTGCCCATGAATGTAGCTGCACTGGGGCACATTTTGTATTGAATGTGTAATGGCTCTTGGTAATCATGTAGTATACCCATAGATAGTATGATTTTGATATTTTGAAACTTAGCTGTATTTGCTGTTAGTTCTTAATGTAAAATTAACCCTGAATTTAATGTGATTATCCAGCAAGAAGAGCTATAAGCTCAGAAGAAAAAACCAGTGAGTTATCTTTGTGGATGATAGCCGGGGCAAAACTTATTTGACTATATTATATATAACAAGGATAGTTCAGTCTCAAAGTAATGCTCACTTGGAATCCTGTCCCAGGCTGATAAACATGTAGTTTTGTGTGGAACATGCAGTTCAATTTAGGTAAGCCTAATATCATTGAGGTCTGGTTTAAAAAAGGAAACAACTGTGACCACTTGTAACTGACGTCCTGGTCTGTCCAAGATTGTTATGGTTTATATTTGTGACTTTGGCTCTCATGAGTAGAAGATTAGGCAAGTATGATGGCATTACAAGCTTCCTGAGGAATCTAGAAGCAAGGGCCCCACTACATGACAACTTTTGGTTATTCCTAATCACCATAAGAGCTTTTCTTTTTCTGCCAAATTGAGTTGGATAAAAGCTTTCAAATTGGCCAGTAATATTTGTCTGGGGCATAGTTTTCTGTGGATGTTCTGGAAGATGACTGATTATTGACATTTTTGCCTTTTCTGTTAGTTCAGTAATGGATCAGTAACAGTTAGTTCAATATGAGATCTTAATGCTGTTGAATATTTAGTTTAATTTAGCTAAACAGCATCAGTTTCTATTTGTGTAGTATTTATTTAAAGAAAACCCAACAATTTGTGTAATTCAAATTAGTTTCAGTTGCACTAACCAAAAACATCTTCTGATTTTTGAACAGGATGACGTCACCTCGTTTTATAGAATTTGTTTGTAAACATGATGATGTCCTTAAGTGTTTTGTTAATCGGTAAGCTTCAATAAATATGGGCCTTGTAATCCTTCCCTCTGTTCCTCCCTGGCAATAATTAATTTTTTTCTTCTTACTGAGTTTTATATTTAGATTGTTGCTGTGATATATGAACAATATGCAATTTAATGGTCTTGCTGAACTTAAGGGAGTGTAGATTAATGATTCAGAGCTCAGACTTAAATTAACTCTTCTGCATATTTAAGTGATCTATTTGAATGAAATCTATTTCACAGAGCAACAGAATAATTTGATGAATGGATTCTTTCCTTATATTTGTTCCAAATAAGGCCTTCCCTTTTAAGGTAGATGAAAATCTTCATTCTTCCTCAAATGTGTGACGACTTAAAGGAGTATAAACCATCTTTGTACAGTTGGCTGTTTCCAGCATTTCTCTGGGACTGCCAGGTTTATAACCTTCCTTCTGTGTGGCAAGCTGCTTCTAATCCTCCCATGTTTAACAGATGAGGTAGTATAAGTTGTTTGGAAAAAGAATTAGGAAAAAGTAATAAAATATAATCTTGAAACTTGTCTAAGATTAATTGCGTTGCTTCTTTATGTAGACGTTTTGCATCACAAAACATTATTATTCAATCTCTAACAGGCTTCTAACCTGTTTTTCTTTCAGAAATCCCAAAATAATTTTTGATCACTTTCATTTTCTTCTGGAGTGTCCTGAACTAATGTCCAGATTTATGCACATCATAAAAGCTCAGGTAAATGTCAGCAGCTGCTTAGTTACAACTTCTGTGATTATACACAGAGTGTTTTTTTAAAAAAATAATACTTAAAGAAAATCCATTTTGGGAGGATGAAAGAGCTAAACATGGCCTCTAGTGCTTCTGAATACATAATGTGGAAATACCATATTTAACAGACATGGTGGCCAGATTTCTGTATTCATAATTCTCTAAAATACGTGAGTGTGTCTATTTGAGATAACCAGTGTTGGATGTGTCTTACAAGTCCAACTTTCAGTTAAAGAATGAAATTTCTGTTTCTAAATCTGTTTGTGCACATCTAATAGATTGGGCTTTAAAATGCTTTACCTCCCCCTAAATGACTTATATTTTGAGACAAACCAGAGGATAAATACATCACTATTAATTGATTTGGTCATAATTAGTGGCAACTCCTTTAGTGGAACATCATGTTGTCTTGTTGTCTGTTCCAACAGCTTTATTTCCTTAGTTGTGAACCATACTGTGCTTTTATTTTTAAAGATAAAATGCTTTTATTAATCCAGTTTCATTTCTGGGGCATGGTGTTGGTGTATTGTTTATTCATTCTTTCGTTATGATGTGTGTTTGTGAAATTTCCTACGTATGAATGAATAATGAGGAGACCCCGAGAGCTGTTTGTTAGATCAACTCATGTACGTGCTGTGAACTGCAGGGGATGAGAAGGGCCATACTTGTGTCATATCTGTCTTGAAAGAGCTGCAAAATGTCTATATAAATACTGAGTCAAATAAGTTAGAACTTTCTAACCTGGTATTGCTTTGTAAGGTTTCTCATTCCTTTGGGCTGTTCTATATTGCCAGTGAACCTTACTGCAAATAGGGCTGGTTCATATTACTTGTGCTTCTGTGGTGGATTATCAGTAGTTTCACAGAAACCAGTGACTTATTTCTTATCTAAGTTCGTTCATGCTCTCCCCTAACCTGTAAAAAGTTTTGTGCTGTTTTTCTCTTCCATGAAAAACTTCAGTAGCTATTTCTGGACAGCTGTTGGTCCAGTCTTTCTGCACACTCAGCTTCAGCAACCACTCAAGCTCATGTCTAGTCCTTTCTTCTTCCTAAAATACTGTATAGCATGTTGGGGTAACTCTGCACATCTCAAAAATCAATTCAGAATTATGCATAACCATTTGCTTATGGGAGAGGAATTTTTCAGAGGAATGCATGTGTATGATATGATTTGCACCTTGTTTTGTAGCCATTTAAAGATCGCTGTGAATGGTTCTATGAACATCTGCACGCCGGGCAGCCAGATTCAGACATGGTGCACAGGCCTGTCAGTGAAAATGACATACTTTTGGTTCACAGAGGTATTGTGTTCTAAATGGAATTAGTGTGTCTTTGAAGGATGATGAATGAAGATTAAAAAAATAATTGGTATTTTGTGTTTAGATTCTATTTTTAGGAGTAGCTGTGAAGTTGTGTCTAAAGCAAACTGTGCGAAATTAAAGCAGGGGATCGCTGTGAGATTTCATGGAGAAGAAGGCATGGTGGGTAAAAGTGCATGGTTTGTTTTATGGCATTTTCATATGGAAATATTAATTATCATTCACAAGTGTGATTTTGAACTAAAGCCTACTTTAAAATCACTTTAAAATAAATATGTGGTTACTCAGCATAACTATTGAGTGAAAGTTTTGTGTACTAATACCTTTTATTCTCTTGACATGCAGGGACAGGGCGTGGTGCGTGAATGGTTTGATATCTTATCCAGTGAAATAGTTAACCCAGATTATGCCTTATTTACCCAGTCAGCTGATGGTATGTCTCTGCCTTTTTTTTTTTTTTCCCCCCTAGGTTTAGGGTGTCATTTTTTATAAAAGCATTTTTATAATACAAAAAAATCTGTGTAGAGGCACAGATTATTTCATGAAAGCTAAAAGGAGAGGTTCTGCCTGTTCAAAGTAGTCTTCTCCAAGGAGACTAGGAATGGACTGTATCCTGCCTATGTCTGGCTGGAGACAGGTGAAAGAAAGTGGATATATTCTCGTCCTTCCTTTGAGCATGTTCACAAGTTGATAGAACCGAAGCCCATTAGAGTGAGTAAAACATATATATATGTAGCAATATAGTAAAATGGAGGACCAAATTTAGCCGTTGGTAATTACCCTTTTGCTGATGATAATTATTTCAGAACAGTGCCTTGGAGAGTGGATTAACAGTATCATTGTAATAAGATGTCATTACATTCTAAGACATTTCTTTCTGACACCTTTTTTCTGTAAACAAAATACCTCAAACAGACTTTCAAAATCCCAAGATAAAACTTGCAATGTTTTCAGATGCTTAGTGTGTTTGATAAATAAAAGCTTAATTTAAAATAAAGAAAATAATGGAATGTGATAATGTTTTTGTTTTATAGGAACAACTTTCCAGCCGAACAGCAACTGTCATAACAGTTGTCTGAGTAGTAAACCTTTCCTTTTTTTACTTTTGTGTATGTGTATGTTAAAAGTGAAAAAGCCGTGGAAATTAATGTCTTGCTAGCCTTTCATGTACCTCGGATTCACAACAATTCTTTGCATCACAGCTGTGAAGCTTATTTGCTCTTCTGAGTAGTGTCATTCTTGAGAAATGAAAATAATTGTTCCCTAGTTAGCTTAAAGTTGAGAATGCTTGTGAACTCTGGCAAATAGGCATTCTTGATCATGTCTGAAGTTCTCCACTTGTGCAGCAGTTTTTAAAAAATTGAAACCCTGCTGTTGAAAACCTCGCTGTCTACTGACTCCAACAAATACTACTTACTTTCCAAAGTAGTGTTTTAGGTTCATCCTGTCTCCTTAATGAGAGAAGTTAGTTCATGTACTTTTACTGTAGCATTCAAGAAGCTTGGACAGATGTTTCTATAGAAATGTAACCTTTTTAGTAGAGGATAAGTTCTGTTTGCTGGTAGTAGCTGTGGTCTAGGGCTCTTCTCTGCTCTTTAAGAACCTTTGTGAATCTTGGTTGCTGAACAAGATGCCCTTCTTCTGCATTGTCATTTAAACACTTCTCTTGAAAGAAGATGATTCCTTTTGCATTCTTGTTACTCCTCCAAGTACATAAATTCATTTGCTGTTGCATGCAGAATTTCCTTTGTGTTTGATCACTAATCTTCTTTGGAAGTATAAGATGGCTTAATGGGTTTTTTTACCCACAGTCTTCCTTGTCATACTTGCTGAGTCCAGGACAGATTAACTCTTAACTTCAGTTAAGTTTACTGTTTATCTTCCCTGAAAGTGTTCAGAGAACACTTGTTGTTCATTGAAGGTGCAGGCTCAGTTTTCTTTGTCAAGATCTTCTTCAGGAAGCATAGAGGAACATATTTTACTTCTCTCCCTCAGTGCTACTTTCTGTGGCAGGAGAGTGACTATGCTGGGCAAGAGCCAGTGGAGCACAGCCAGTCTGCAGCAGCAGCATGTTGGCAGTGCTCCATCAGGTGCCCCTAGCCACTGATCTTCACACAGGAGGGTGGTTCTAAAGCAGGGATATCATTGCATGGCACAGTTTGGTGCTGACTTAAGCCTTGGCCTCTGACATTTAGAGTGAGTAGATGAATCATGGATGATTTGGGTTTGAAGATACCTTAGATACCTTGCGCAGAGACACCTTCCTCTAGACCAGGTTGCTCAAAGCCCTGTACAGCTTCATCTTGGAACACTAGCAGGGATGGAAGGACTGGGCGACCTGTTCCATTGCCTCATCACCCCCACAGTAAAGAAATCCTCCCTAATATCTAATCTAAACTTACTGTCTTTCAGATTTAAACCATTCCCCTTTGTCCTGTCACTACTTGCCTGTGTCAAAAGTCCCTCTCCAGCTCTTTTGTAGGCTGCCTTCTGGTGCTGGAAGGCTGCTTGAAGGTCTCCCTGGAGCTTTCTCTTCTCCAGGCTGAAACAAGTCCAGCCTTCAGTTTTCGTAGGAGAGGTGCTTCAGCCATCTGATCATCATTGTAACCTCTTCTGGACTTGCTCCAACAGGTCTGTGTCCTTATGCTGGGGCCTCAGAACTGGATGCAGTGCTCCAGATGGGGTGTTTTGAGTGTGAGGTAGAGGGAGAGAATCATTGCCTTTGATCTGCTGGCCATGCTGCTTTCATTGCTATGAATAACACGGGCTAATCTCCTTGTGATGTATTCACAAAAAAGAAAATCTTATTTTTCTGCTGTTCCATGTTACCTTGAGAATAGTGAAATGTTGATCTTGTCACCTCTTTTGGAAATGACTGTTAGTGATGATATGCTTGATTTATTGGTTTCTGAATTGACAAGATGATCCATTACTTTTTTTTCACTTTGCTAGAATAACTATTGCAAACCAAGCAGCAGTCATTAGTCTCTGTTAATAAGGTCTAACTGGTCTTAATAAGGTCTTGTCATTCCAACATTCTGTTTTACAGGTATCCTAGAACTTTATAGAGGTTTATACACATTCAACTTGTTTAAGGTCAAGAGCTTTATCACTTCTTATTACTTAATCAGAGACAAAGAACTGGAAAAATTACACCTCTGCTTCTCAAAATAGTTGCTTTTTCTGCCTCAGTCACTGTGATTTATTTAAACCTTGCCAAGGCCTTTTCCATCAGCTTTGCACATCTCCTGTCTTCTTGTTTAAGGAATCAGTTGCGCAGTAGTGGATGCTCCTGAGTGGATTTGTTTTATTTTTGCTAGCTCTTGTTCATGCCAAATACAAGTTATCTGGTTACTGACATAGAAATTCCCTTCAGCTCCTTGTTAGGCCTTAAGTAAGAGAGTTTGAACTCTCTTGGAGTCTGTTTTCACTCCTTCAGTTTCTCACCTTGCACTGAGATCCTTGTTTCCTGTAGGGAAAGTATATGCATCTGCTGATGGCACTGAAACCACCAGTTGTGTGCTAAGCCCTTCTGTATCTGAGGAACACTGTGAATCTCTTTCAGAAACTCCTCTTTTTAGCCAACAGACATGATGTGGAAGTGCCTTAATTGGAAGCTGAAACCTGTATGCACAAATGTTCATACATTTCTTTGAGTCTTGTGTGGGTGCACACCTTTTTCCACTGTGATGAGTTGAGAGCTTCCTGCAGCAATATCTGGTAGGTGAGGAAAGATCATTAACTTACGTGATGACTCAGCTAACACATAACTAATGTGCTTTATAAGGTATTAGGTATGTAGTGTGCATGATTTTTTTTTGTGTGTGTGTGTGTTCTGTGAAACCAAACATTGTTCCATAGGTCTGCATGTTTATTAAGGCTGCATTCTATTCCAGATGTGGCACAGGGAGAAATACAGGCAGAAATTAGTAAGACCTCTTAGGTTTATTTTTCTCATACTTCTTATCTATCAGCCTTCTGCTTAAACGGGGGAGGAGCGGATGATTTCTCTAGTGCTGTTTTCCAGTTACTTTGTATTTCTTTACAGATAAGGTTACTTTCCTGTTTGTAAAAAGAAACTTCCATCTCCAGCTTATAAAGACAGCAGATAAATTCTTAACTGTTCTATCTACTCTTACATTCCACTCTCAAATAGAAAGTAGTCCTTGAAATGGCATAAACAAAAGTGAAAATTAATTTCTGGGTCAGTGTATTTTGAACTGGAGGCCTTAAAACCTTGAATAATTAATGAGCTTGTCTCAGAGCTTACCTGTAATATCTCTTTGAAGTTCTGTGTTGCACAGAAATACTTGCTTCTCACAATTACGCTATGCTAGATTTCTCTTCCTTTTCAAACTACAGGGGTCTCAAGGGCATACAAGAGAAAGATAGATAGTATTTTGTGGGATTCAAATTTTGTCATGATAAATCTGATGATTTTTTTATAACTGCCTGCTTGAGTCCATTCATTTGTAAAATAGCTGACGCCCAAATGACTGAGCTTAGTGCTTTGGTCTCGCAACATGCTGGCTATGATTGTACTCTCATCATAACACTTGTTGAGTTTCTTCTCTAAAGGAGGAGTCTCTGATTCCTACTTTTCAGTCTTTCCCCACATCCTTATTTCCACGTTTCGTGTGTCAAATGCACATAAGCTTGCTAGTTGGCAAAAGTGAAAGTCCTTTGGAAACTATTAGATAGCTGTTAGATTTTTTTTGTTTTGAGCGACATGACAGTGATATTTAATTAGTAAGTTATCTATCCCTATCTTAAACTGGAGTGTTGCTTGATTTTATTTGAAAAACAATGCCTTAGAGCTATATACACACACCCTTTCAGCACTTGTCAGCTCTTCCTGGGAAATACTATAGTACTTTTTACACTTGGATGTTTTGCAGTGGCTGCTAACCTTTGAATTTTGTGTTTCTGTGGGGTACTGCATCCACAGTCCATAGTGTGCTAAGGCTTCTACTAATGGGCATCCTTATGACACTGCACAATGCAGGGAAGATGGTGAAGCAAGGACAGTATTTCCAAATAGCTTGCTGTTCTCTAAACCTACTGCTACCCTCAATCCCTGCCCCTTTCCCCAGATATTGTGTCTGTGGTGGTAGAGTTGAAGTATCTATCATGCCAGAGTTAAAATATTTAAGGTCTGCTTTCTTGTGAAGAAGGTAGCTCTCTTGTAAACTAGGGTCAGTTTGTTCCAGGCCCATTTGCTCAAATGTGCTTGAGTGCCATGCCTGTGAAGGGTTTGAAAATAGGCATTTACATGTATCTGTACCTGGATAAAAGTCAGATTTCTAGAAAATCTCCTTTTAATGCTTCTAAATGACTTGCAAGTTTAATTGGAAATGTAAAATTCCTATAATAATAGGTCTAAACTGTGTAATAGATCTCATTTCAAATATGATTAAAAAGAACACTGAAGGGTAATGAGAGTTTTCTGAGTACAGAAAGATTGTTTAAAATTGTCTTCCCCCCCCGCCCCAAGTAATGCTCTGGGTGAAAAGGTGCTGTTACAGAAAATATGGTACTTGTGTTTCTAAAATGTAGGTGGAAAACTTTAAGACTTGTAGGAAACATTTAACATTTTGTGTTCAGAATAAGTAGATGCTTTTACTGAAATCCATTAGTGAACTAAAATTATGCAAATTGGTTTTGCCTGAGAGTTATGTCATTTGCTTCACTAGGAGGAAAAACATATAGAGGAAACTTGAATCTGTAGTATTTTAAAAATACAGCTGCACAGTTCTGTAGTTCACAACAGTGCATCCCTTTTTCCCTTTTCCTATTACTGCATTATTCTGGTTTGTCTCTAGAGGGCAATCTTCTACCACATATTGAGTCAGAACCCTTTTTGCTTTATCCCATTTATTTGAGCAGTTTTGTCTCTTTCTTTTATTTTTTTCCTAGGCATACCTGTAAATTATCAGGATGTAGCATCTATTGATCCAGAGTATGCAAAGAACTTGCAGTGGATTTTAGATAACGATATCAGTGATCTGGGTTTAGAGCTGACCTTCTCTGTTGAGACCGATGTCTTTGGAGCAATGGAAGAAGTGCCATTGAAGCCAGGGGGTGCAGGTATACTTGTTACACAGGAAAACAAGGTGAGTGTACAGGTTTATTAACAAGATGATAGTATAGGAAAAGCCATTGGACTGACTTTCTGAATAACTGGAATGATGAATGGTATACCTGTTTTGAAGAAAACATAAAAAGAATTCAAGTTGCCAACACTCTTCCCCCTTTTTCTAGGTTAGCATGTTACAGAAACAGTACTACTCAAAATCTTCAAAAGAGTTCTGATTAGAGGTTCTTCTTTCTGCCAGAACTGTGGAAGGGAAATAGGATCAATTTAAATGAAGGATTTATTTTAAAAGTTACAAATACTCCTAAAGTTATGTCTTTCATATATACACCAAGAATGTCAAACAGTAGCAGTTGCTAAACATAAAATTATAGGTAATGTTTCAAAGTGTGCTGCCTGCTAGGCCAGTCTATAGCACTGGATTGCTCAAATTAACGTGCAGGTAATGGACAGAATAAAAGTCTGCAGGAAGCTTTTTCAACCATTTGCAAGGCACTTGGTGTGTATGGAAATAACCTGCTTTTTGAATTTTTCTTTAGCAGGTTGAAAAGCCCCCGATTCCTCTGCAGCATTAATTGAAAAAAAAAAAAGAAATGTGGGAAAACACAGCCAGATTTTGAAAAATTGTCTAGAAATTATGATAAACACAAGTCTAATTGAATCCTGCAGTTACTGACTAAACAGTTCTGAGTTTACACTGCAGGAGTGTCACAGGTAGACCTGCAGTTTTTTTGTAACATTGACCCTTGTTCCTGATGTCTGCTTTGTGTTCTGATTTCCATTTGTGTTGGGCTGGCTGAGCCTGTTCTCTGTGCTCAGTAAGCATTTGGCTTCAGGAGTGGTGTCAGCAGCTGCTGCACTGGAGAGCAGCCGCTTGGTGTCAGCCTTTGTTGCAAGGACATTGCAGTTTGTGTTGGAGCAATTGGTACTGGATTCTTGTAGCCTTAATCCTCATTTTCATTAAGGCACAGTGTCATTCCAATAGCAGGAATACATATTATTAGCCTAATTCTGCACTGATTCCTGCAATACAGTCATTTGTGGAAGAATACAGATGATAAAACAAGTGTAATGGCAAAGGTAGTGGATGCTTAGTGTTTTTATTATCTATTGGAGAAGGCAAGGATGTAGATTAGTGCATCTGGTCAGTATATTCTAGTATGGAATAGTATATATACTATTACATACTTAAACTAGTATATATTTAGCTTCTCAGTATATGTAAAAGATGTATTTAACATAAATTGTAGTTTCATAACAACTATTTAAAACCTGTTTTCAATTAGCATAAAACTAGAAGTTTGCCCACGTGGGGGTACTACCTGTTACCAGCTTAATTTGCTCTCTTAACTTCAGAGCTGGGACACAGTCTAGAAAGGGTGATTGAAAATGGGTAGCTGAGATGCCTCCATTCCATCTCATCAAGCCATTGTCAGAATGGCAGGAGGGGACTAGAGTTTGTGTAGCTTTAATTTGAAAGGTGCTAAGAAAGAGTTGGCTCTGGTGGTAGCTTTGAAATTATTAATATTAATGCATTTTTTGAATTTGAAGTTGCAAAACGTGAAGTAAAAAAACATCTGTAGGATGGCACTGTTTTGTTCACTGGCAAAATTGACCAAGTTGCTGAAAATTGGAGATCTGTAGTTTAGTGGTTTTTGTTTTTTTTTCCCCAGTTTGTTTAATGTGACATAGTTTTGCAGTATGTTTTAGCTTAGCTGTTCTATCAATTTAAATAGGAATGTGTCTACTTAATAAAAATATACCTTTTTCTTCTGCAAGTGAGAAAAAGTTGGGTTTTTTTCCTGCCTTTACCCAAGGAATAAGGATCACTGTTTAAAACTCATTGTATTTATTATGTCTCTAGGAGAAGAAAATTCAGCTTCTGAAAGTATTTGCTGTGTATGCACACTAGCAGATTAGCTGTTAAAATTAAATTAGGAATTAATCTTTATCCATTGAAAAACCTGAGCAACAAACACATACACAAAAAAATCCCCTGTGCCAAAACCAAAATAAAACACACTGTTGCCCCTCCCTGCACAGAAACCACCCAAACAGTCCCTTTCTTTCATTGAAAACTGAAACAGACTAAATGCACTAGTAGTAAGAGCTATTTGTAAAATGTTATTTTCTTTGAATGGGGTAATTTTCTTTTTTTATGTCAAGTGTGTAATAGGGGAATGATTGTGGGGCATTTAGATGATGCAAATATTCGTGTCTTACAATTGCTGTGTCCATGTAGCCCAGCTGAAATACGGTTATAACTTGGTTCAAATGCCTTTGGTCATGTTAATGGAGAGACTTCAAAGGGAAAAGTCAGGCTTTGTCCTGAATTTGCTCTTTGCTGTGTATCGTTTTTCAGCTTTCTACTTTTTAGGAAAAAAATGAAATTAGGCCTAGTCAAAGTTTGATTATATGTTAGGTTAAAGAATGGTGCAGATTTCCACAATCCTGTGGCTTTCTGTATCTTCCCAGAACCTGTCTGTGAGCGGGCCATTCTGTTTGGCACTAAAACAGTAGGTATTTTTATTTCCAGGCAGCTTTAAAATGGAGCTGCTCTCTGAATCTGAAAATCATCATAACCATTGATCCTTGTCTCACAGTATATGGGACTGTGAAATCAAGGAAGCATGATCTGTGCTTTATTTACCTCAAAGTAAAACACAGAACAACCCCTCACCCAAACAAGATTTTGTCATTATATTTGTGTTGCCCGTCTAATGGGTTTTTAATCACGTCTCCCTTCCTTAAAGAAGGCTGGATCATAACTTTATGTAGGAATGCATATGTAGATCTGAAATGATGTAGGTATTCCTGTTCTGTAATGTGCTCCTAAGGCTTCAGAGGGGAATAAAATGTAAATGAAGTGCACAGAAAGCAAAACAAATTGACCAAGTTGTTTACTGACATGTATTATGTAAATTCTGTGCTACAGGTCTTTCATCATGTGCCAGTGCTGATAGCCAGGATGCTTAGCTGTTCCAGGCTATTTTAAGCATTTATTTTTACACCTAAAGTACAGCAACTGCTTTCTCTCATAATTAAAGTGTTCAATGTAGTATTTTTTTTATCCTGCGTGAAATAAGTAATTTTTTTTTAAAATGGATTTTTCAAAATAAGGCTGTGAATTTTACTTTCCACAACCCTGTTTTTCTGGGTAGCCTAATTTACATAAGAACAGTTTAAGAGATGTAAAATGTGCATTTCTGATCATTGAAGACAAGTGTTAACAGTATTTTGAATCCCAGTATTGCAAAAATTTCTGGTTTCTTCTGTGTTCACGGACTGACTTTTATCTAGTGCAGTTAATCTCCTTTGGCTGCCCCTCAGCTCTCTGACAAGGGAGGTGTCTTCAGCTCCACTGATAGTAGAGGCAACCTGAGGAGACTTCTAGACTTGAAAATAGATTTTTGGGAGCAGTACTGCAGTTGAAGATATTATTAGGTCATGTTCCTCTTCTTCAGAGCACTTCACAATTTAATTGCTCTCTCGGTCTAATGAAATGGTGATAATGGTTTTAAAAGTATTTTTCAACTGCAAAGCAAACAACCCCTCTATACATCTGTAAGGAGCTGCCTTTAAAAAAATATACATTTTGATATGTTTCATACTTCATTCTCTTTTTCTGAAAGGGAGGAAAGGAAAAATGCTTGGTTGCTTTTTTGCAGGTTCAGGACCTAAAAGTCTAGGTTGAAGTATTTCAAAATTAAAGTAGTATTTTTGTAAGATTGTTTTCTTAAAGGAAGCTGATAGTTGAGATGTTTAATTGGGAGATACATTTTATGATTTTCTTATTAAAAATTATGATTACAAAGTCAAAACATTTCTTTAAACAGAGTACCTTAAATAATCTAGGAATAAATTTTGTTTTCAAGTAGAAAACTATTTTCTTGAGTAAATAAACTTTATTAAACTTGGTCAGGGTAGATGAAACATGTGTATAGAATTTTAATGTAGGCACTTTTCCCTTCTAAGGCACTTGTCTTCTTCTAAAAGCCTTCTTCCATTAATGCCTCCTAGGCTTTTGTGTTCTCAACAAAAGCAAAATTCTGGTGGATTCCTTTTCTGGCTGGCATCTTTTAAAGGGAAGGGAGCCCCCAGATCTCTAAGGCATGTTATAGTCTATAACCTGGCTATGGTGGAAATAGCTTTCTGGTGTTTTTATTTTTTAAAAACTAAGTAGATTTTTCAAGATTTTCTTAAAAAACCCTGAAATTCTTATTAAAACTAATCACCTCTGCAGGCTTTATTATGTATTATTTTAGGCTTCCAGAGACAGGGGGAAAGCAAGCAAGCTTTCTGGCTCACAAATTTTCCTTCAGAACTTAGCCCTTTTTCCTGAGTAATGTCAGTTTGCTTAAATAGAGTATTTTTGCTTACAAACACTGGTGTGTTTATGGCCTTAGTTGAGCTTAATGGAGGTTGTACTAGATGTGGGTATGACAAGTTTTATTTACTTTATTTTAGTCTGAGTCCCTGTTTTTTGAATGGTTTATGTAACAATTCAAACACTTCTGTTTTGGGATTGTCTTAGAAAGGAAGGTAGAAGAGCAGAAGGGTTTTTTTAGGTTTGCTTCGATGTAAAAATGCAAAGGGACTCTTGCCATCTTAGAGTGGAAGAGATTTGTAATGCATTGAGGACTGCATTTGTGCGTGTGAGTTTGTTTGAGCACTGTGTGGTTCTGCTGGGGTCTGTCTTAATATTGTTCTCTATGTTGCAGGCTGAGTATGTCCAGCTTGTGACAGAACTCAGAATGACAAGAGCCATTCAGCCTCAGATAAATGCCTTTTTACAAGGCTTCCATATGTTCATTCCACCATCTTTGATCCAACTTTTTGATGAATATGAACTGGTAAGCAGAAATGCCTATGTACTTTTAAACACTTTGCTCAGCATACTTCATCAGCAGTGTAAATGATGTAGAAGTAAAGCTCAGTAACCACAAAATAAAGATTTTGCAGCTTTCACGTTGGCTTTACTTCCTGGGCATCTATTAACGGGGATCTCATTATGTGTATTCCTGCTTTTGCTAATTACTCAGGATTACCATCTTCCTGAAACTTCACATGGCAGTAATAAATGCCTTAATTTGTAGTTTCAGTATGGAATCAGCATGTTGTGGCCTTTAAGTCTTTGCGTGTTTCCCTTAAAACTGGAGGACAGAAATCCTTTAAGAATAACGAGATGCCGTCTATTGTCTCTACTTTTTCTGAGTCACAGAGTCAAATTCCAGTAAAGTTTTGTTGGTGGTTTGATCTTCTGTAACCAACACATCTCAGATTTTCTCTGAAGTCGTGGCAAGACTCAGAGTTTTTTTTCTTTCAGGTTCTTTGGCAATAATTTTTTCTCTTTCTAGTGCATACTTAAATTAAACAGATCATGTGAAGTTACCTGAATTCAAGAATCTTCATGTATTAAAATTTAGTCGTGAGTTTCATAAGATTGCAATAATTTAAAAAAGCACTGTAAGCTTTCTACTTCTTAAAACATTACTTCTTTAAATAGCTCTTATAAACTCTTGAAATAAGTGGCTAGTCAGGAGGACTAATCACAGTCTATGTACTTCTCCTGAAGGAGCTTTTGTTGTCTGGTATGCCAGAAATTGATGTGAATGACTGGTTGAAAAATACAGAATACACCAGTGGCTATGAGAGAGGAGACCAAGTTATTCAGGTAAAATAATTTATTTGTTTGTTTTCTTTTTTTGTTTTTTTTTTAATAATGTAGACTATTTAATCCAAAAAATATGGTTTTGTTGTTGTCAACATCTGTGTGTTTATGGAAGCTTATTTTGGCTCAAATTTGTGGAGGTATTTTTCTATGGTATTTCTACATTAAGTAATTTAATTATGTATGAATTTGGTACAAAAAATGTATGAATTTGGTACAAAAAATTCCATAATTTAAGTAGAAAACACATTTATTCCATTTATTGTTTTATCAGTGTATTTTCAAGTGCTACAAGTATTTAATGGAAGATACAAAGTAATTTCTTTGTCGTTTAGTGGTTCTGGGACGTGGTGGAAGAACTAACTCAGGAAGAGAGAGTGTTACTATTGCAGTTTGTTACTGGCAGGTGAGACATTCTTCTGTAAGAACAAATGCATTGTCTAGATACTCTGAGGCCTTTGTTGCTGTCCAGGCTGTTCTGACAAGGCAGTAGTGAATTTAACTGAGCTTTATATTCTTGTTCCTGTTGCATATTTATATGACTCTTGGCTTTTCCAGTAATCAGCTGAGGCTGTAATATGTGAGATAAGTAGGTATCACTTCAGTTGGTGTACACAGAATAGACTTCTCCTCAAACTGAGTTGAATTTAAGATTAGTGCAGTGTGTCAAGATAAGTAAAGATGTAAGCTTATGGAAGGCAGTCTGCTTTATAAAGGTTTTCTGTCCTAAATTCTATTTGTTCTCTAGGGAAAGCCACTTTTATTTCCCTTATGGTTTGGGGGCAATGAGGGAATGTTTTAGCAATAAAGGCCCCTGTGAGCTGGGTGAGTTGATGAGCTTTTGGGTACAGACATTTTGCAAAGTGGATCCATAGACATAAGTGTGACACTTGAGTTGTGCAATCCAGTCTTTTTCTGATAGCATGCAGAGATCACATCATCTTCTTAGTTTGATGTTCCCTTAATTTTCTGGGATTAGTAGAGTAGTTGACCTTTTGTGTGTAAGTTTTTGTGGTTAAGCAATGATAAAATACAAATTAAGATCATCAAAAGTACCTTTTATATTAAGGAATTTCACAGTCACGGATGTATCATCAAATGGCCCTCTCTCCAAATTCTATTAGTTTCACTTAATTTATTATGAATTTCCTTGGTTTTAGGGATCATGGATGGTTTAAGAAGCTAGTTGTATGCACACTGATCTTTTTGTTCTCTGAAGAAATGATTCCTGAAGTTGCATATGTATGGCATGCCAACTGCTTGTCTTTCATTTTTAGTAGACTTGTCCATTTCTAAATCTAGAGAGCAAATAAGGATCTTTAAAATGTAAGGTTGTGTTTCAAATGCTTCTTATAGCATTCTAAATGATACTGAAGTGGCATTCAGTATTTTTAGGGCATTTAGGGTAATATACTTCTTCTAAGGGACAATATCTATCAAGTAAACAGTTACACTGTCTGATTAATATGTGTGTCAACATCATTCATTTTTGGTCACAAATCACCTACTGTCTTGTTCTTACCCATTCTCTTGTCAGTAGAAAAGAAGTTTTGGTGTGGCTTTAAGACTTCTGGTGTGGAATTTAAAAACAATCTTCTTAGGATTTTTTTTTTCCTGTATCGGCTATGAGGAACCCTTTGTTTTTCCTTTAGTGTTTGAAATGCAATATATTTTTCCATAAATATTTAACTTTTGAAAGTTACCTCTAATAGTGATATACAACTGGCATTTTTGCACATAAGTCCCCAGACAGTCCTACTTTCTTTTAAATGTTAGACAATGACCTTTCTGTGAGCCTAGTATGGTAGTTGGGCTGGTATCTTAAGCAAAATTTTACATTAAAAGTATACCTGATTTTCAAACTATGGTGTTTTTGTGGCCTTAGTGAAGAATTTGTTTCTATGGGTACTGGTTGGCAGGTTACATTTACAGGTCTTTATTTTCTGAATTTCCCTTTAATGTCTTCTGTACATTCACTTGGTTTTTTTTGTGTGTGTGAAGTGGAACTCTTCTTTCTTTCCAGTCAAAGACTATGAAATTAGTCTAGTGAATTAAGTAAAATAGTTAGATTTATGATTATGTCTTCTGCGTTTCTCTGACATCACTAAGTATTTCTTAAACTTCCCCTTTTTTCTTCTTCCTCCATTTTTACGTTTCTTTCTCTTTTTCCCTTATGAAGTCTTGCTTTGGTAATTTCAGTGGAGATAACTTTGCATTTGTCATTAATACCAATTTTGAGACATTTTTAATAGTAAAGCAACTGTCTAGAGCAAAGCTTGAACATATTTGGAGGTCTTAACACACTCAAGAAAAAGCCTGAATGTTTCTGTGGCTCATGTTTGGGATTGGAAAGTTCACTTATGATGCCATTTATTCTTTCTTAGCTAACAGCTGCTTGAGATGATAGTGCCAATTCTACAAGCCAATTCTACAAGCTTTTCTTATTTTCCCCCTCTCGATCTGTTTGGTATTTATAATAGTATTTGGCTAAGTTATTGTTAATTCTTCACTGGCAACTTCTGATGGAGTTTTTAGTGAGCAGTTGGAAGGAGATGTTGACAGCTTGATAGAATCTAAATGATAAATTCTACTTTATTTGTATTCTACAGCTGCAATGATTATATAGAACTTCTTTGGGGACTGTAGTTTTTGTTGAGTAATAAGCAATATGCTTATGCTCTTTAAGGAAAAATCAGCATACTTGTTAAATATGAAAGATGTCTACTGTCACATAAGAATAAAAAATCATAAGGAAATAAGCTTAAAATCTCTTCTACAGTGTTTTTATTCCAAGGAAATTTATGCAAAACTTGTCAGTCGAAAAATAGATAGAAAAGTCATGATTCAGATGTAAACGTAGAAATTTCCAAAACCATGAAACTGTATTGTTGTTCTTGCTCACAGCTATTGTGATATTTTTTGCATCTATTTGGAAGGTTTTCTCTACTATATTGGCAGTGTTTTGCTTGGAGAGAAAGCTCATTCTTGGAGGCACAAGTGGGTAGCAATCTCTTCCTTTTGAATGTTCAGTCTTTTGACTGTGCTTTACTATTTTGACCTGTTATATGGGAAGTATTATTATAAGTTACATTGAAAAAAACTTTTAGATAATAGTGGACTGAAATAAATTTTCAGCAGTTAGGTCTCTTTTATTGCTGATTTGAATGTGGGATGTTTTTCAGAGGGGAGAAAAAAAAGTCATTGCAGGGGAGGCAAGACTATATTAGAATGTGAGCCAAAACCATAGTGTAAGGGTACTGATGTACCATCTTTACCCTTGTTCTGAATTGTTGCTGTAAGCACAATTCCATTTATGTCAGAAATAATATGCTGCAAATAATCAGCACTTCTCTCCTTAGTGGTTATTTTGTGTAGCAGTGTTAGAACTATGCTCAGTATTGCTGTTGTTAAGCTAGGTAATACACATTTATGTGTTGGATACTACAGCTAGTTCTAAAAGGTATATTACTGTGAGTTGTGTCCCAGATACTTCACATTCAGCAGCAGCAACCATTACACTTCTGCATTTTCGCTGGGCAGTTTTACTGTGAGTGGAAACATTACTTCTTCTCTTCTACACTTGCTTCTGGCTTTTACAGTCACTTGATTTGGTGAATCTAGGAGCACTGTTTTTAGTATAGGTAGCTGTAATCCAGAATTCTAACAGCTGTTACGTATTTTTGGAAGGTTTATTTTGTTTTATCAGATGCTCTCTTTGCTAGCTACAAAATCACAGAATAGCTGAGATTGAAAGGGACCTCTGGAGATTAAGACTTTCACAGAATATTCTGATTTGAAAGGGATTCACTAGGATCATCAGGTCCAGCTCTTAAGTGAATGGTTTATACAGGGCATACATTATTAGTACCATGCTCTAACCAACTGATGTATCTCATTGTCAAGTCCAACATGGTATTCAGAGCAGGGGCAGCTACAGCTGAATTTTCAAGATCTTGTCCAGACAGGTTTTGAGTCTCCTGGAATGCTGACCTCTCAACATCTCTGGGCAATTTATACTAGTGTTTGACCATCTTACAGTATAAAAGTGTTCCTTATGTTTAAATGGAAATTTCCTAGACTTCAGTTTGTGCCCATTGCCTCCTGTACTGTAACTGTGGGGATCGCTGCATCATCTTATTTATCCTTTCCTTAAGTATTTGTACGCATTGATCAGATTACTCTGAGCTTTCATTTCTCCAGGCTGAACAGTCTCAGCTTGCTTTTGTCTTGTGTCAGGTGCTCCAGTCCCACAATTTTTGTGGCCCTTCACTCGCCTTGCTGCATTATGTGCTTGTCACTCCTATAGTGGGGAGCTTGGAGCTGAGTATTTCCCCCCCAGGTACAGAGAAAGGATAATCACCCTTTCCCTACTGGTGGCATTGTTCCTAATGCATTCGACTTCTTTGTCCTTTCATTATAGTGGATTTTGGGAAGGGTTGAGGTCCTTTTCCATGTTAGGGCTCTTTATAGCAAGATGTTATCTTGTAGTGTATATCAGCTTAAGTTGTTATTATGAAAACATGTTAATATCTGATTTTTTTTAATGGGCTATTGCCCATTTACACCTGGAGTAATCATTGAATAATATGTTGGTAAAAGGAATAAAAAAGAGTAATATGATTAAGTGAGATTGCATTCCTGAAGATGCTAGTGGTTTTTTTTAGCTTGTTCTAGTTTTGCCCTAGCTTGTCACTGGGCTATAGTCTGACTGATGTAATGGTTTTATTAGTTACTTGAAATATTTGGTCTGAAGTAGTCAATGAAGAGACATGTCAAGGATACTTTGGTCATTTGTCCCACAGATAGTAATCAGAGAACAAACTGTTTTGTGATGTAGCTTAAACTTCAAACATAAATAGATATGTTTGTCCTAACTGAGATAATGCCACAATATAAGAAGGATATAAATCTGTTAGAAAGCATCCAAAGGGGCCATGAAGGTGGTGAAGGGCCTTGAGGGGAAGCTGTATGAGGAGTGGCTGAGTACACTTGGTCTGTTTAGCCTGGAGGAGACTGAGGGGGAACCTTGGAGACCTCACTGCAGTCTACAGCTTCTCAGGAGGGGAAGTGGAGGAGGAGGCACTGATCTCTTCTATGCTGACCAGAGACAGGACCCAAGGAAATGATGTGAAGCTGTGTCAGGGAGGTTTAGGTTGGATGTTAGGGAAAGGCTCTTCCCCCTAAAGGTGGTTGGGTGCTGGAACAGGCTCCCCAGGGAAGTGGTCACAGCACCAGCCTGACAGAGTTCAAGAAGGGCTTGGACAGAAATCTCAGTCACAGGGTGTGATCCGTGCAGAGTTAGGAGCTGGATTTCAATCCTTGTGGGTCCTTTCCAACTCAGAATATTCTAATTCTATGAATATTCTGCTACAAAAACTGGTTATATAAATGAGTCCTTCTTGCAGGCAGAATTATCCTAAATGTCAAACAATATGATGCCTATTGTAAGTGGACTAGCGTGTTATTCAGTCTTGTAATTAAAAGTTTTTAAACAACAAGAATTTTGATATCAGTTACAAAAAGGGAAGTTTAGTAAAATATTAGTAACTGTCAAATAATCCTAAATAAGAGATATTTTCAGTGTAAAGATTACATTTTTTTGCCTTCAAACATTATTGCACTGCTCTTATTTCTGTACATTTTCTCAGTTCCAGGGTGCCTCATGGTGGCTTTGCCCATATAATGGGTGGCAGCGGATTGCAAAATTTTACTATTGCTGCTGTACCATATACTGCAAATCTTTTACCAACATCAAGCACATGGTATGTTAACTATTCTTGTTAAAATATCTTAAAACCAGGGCTTTTTCATGTCAGTCACAGCCAAAAGTACAGTTCTTTAGAATGTTAAAAGGTCAAAAAAATTTTAAACAGTTTCTGCAGTATTTACTCTCCAACATGAAAGTGGTGGGTTTTATCCCAAATGATGTTATGTTTGCTCATTGTTTGCAACTCAAATTTGTCTAATTAAAGGTAGTGAAATTAATAAATGAATATTAAAGTTAAATTACTGTATTAAAACTTACTGAAGTGAAAAAACAACTTAATTTCCTATAATACATTCAGATACTCAGTGTTACTATAAGTCTGCATAGGCTTATTTTCTTCCATACATGTGATCTCTTCAGGGGTTTTAATCAGAAATCTTTACTGTTGAGTTTTTTGCTGAACTGTGGTGTCTTTTTTTTTTTATTTTTCTTTCCAGTATCAACATGCTCAAGTTACCTGAATACCCAAGTAAAGAAATCCTGAAAGACAGGCTTCTTGTGGCCTTGCACTGTGGAAGCTATGGTTACACAATGGCATAAAGAAGTCTAGAAAACCCATCTGACTGTTAATGTGCAAATGTGCAATTTTGAGTGGCAGAAGTAATTTTGGGACCTGTCAATAGAAAAGCATCTTAGATGCTGCAGCCCATTGGCATGGCTGGACTTCTGAACTGGCACAGCATCATCAGCTTACTTTCCATTATTGTGTTGTCAAGGTAGCTTTCATACCATCATAACAAACTTCTCAGTATGCTGTATTTTCATTTTTTAAAATTACAGGTCTGTATGGAAATCAGTTTACATGCTTTTCATTATTACTTCAATCTGAGAAAGTTTGTGAGAATCTTCACACAGTTTACATTTGATTTCCAACTACGTGGCTGAATGACATTTGCATTGCAGTTTACTTTACACTCAGATGGAATACTGCAAATGGAAAGAGTTGTACTTTATGCCTTGTTGCATGTGAAAGTGCCATTTATTTTTGCAGACCACTACAGAAAGTTCAATTGGAATATTGTACAGTAAGACAGAGCTGATGTATTTTCCATTTCTTTGCAGAGTAACAGAAAGAAAATTTTATAACTTTTTAGTATTCTGATGTATATAATATGTAAAGATTAGACTGTTATCATGGGGAAAACCCTACAGATTGAGTTTATCTAGTTTATATTAGAATTTACACTATATTCTACTAAATATTTAAAGTATTTGTGACTTTATAGTCAACTTGCAGTTTAGAATTTGTAAATATTGTTTAAGATCTATATCCATTGTTTGAATGCCTTTACTCTTTCCTTCATATAATTGTATGTTCAAAAGGTATTAATTAAATTTTAATATTTTAACCAGAATCGGAATGTGACAAGTTTGTGTGTGTCTCTATGGGCAGATTATTCTTTTTTCTACCTAAATTTTATTAATCTTTTTATAATTTCAATTGTCCTGTATAATTTCAATTGTCAGTATTTGAGGAGTCACTGTCAAAGTGTATGGATAGACATAAAAAAAATGCACAAGGAAGTAAACTGAGCTTATGAGGTTAACTGACAAAATTATGATAGTTAGAATCTCATGTCAAAATATATATAGAATTAAAATATGTTACACTATATGCAAAAACACACAGCAAGAGCTCAGCACATTTGATAAATAGCTGCACATGCTGGGGTTGGTGATACTGTTACATAACTTTTTTTAGAGATTCTGGGGTAGGCCTACATTATTGTTTTGATTCAGTCTAGGAATGTTTTTTTTGTTGTTGATATGTTTTTTCAGTTGTGGATGTTTTTCTTTCTTTGAAAATTAATCTGGTCATCCCTGCTTGTCATGCTTTTGCCTTGGGGAATGCAAATTGGATTCTGTCCAGATTAAACTAGACAGGAAAATTTGATCCAAAAATGTACTAAATGCTACCGGAGGAGCATCAAATTTATGTCTGCAAGGCTTAAATGATATGAAGAATATCACAGAAGAATATTATGGATCTGAAGAGTTCACAAATTAATTTGGTCATAGCAAACCCACCAAAACTCACAAATTTTAAGGTTCAGGTTCATAGCAGAAGCTGTTTCCTGCTAATCCCTTAATGTTTTCCTACACTAAGTGCTAATACATGTGGAGCCTAAATTCACCAGCTGATTTAGGCTGCTTATTTAGTGCTGGGTTTTTTTCAGATTTTATTTATCTAAAGCATACATAACCTCTCTGGGGGAGTGAGAAAGAAATCCATGGACCATCTTGCCACGATAATGTTCCTCTGGACTAAGCTTTATATATGAATTTACTAGCTTAATTTCCTTTTTTGTTTCTTAGTGCACATTATACATGTGTATAAATGTTGGTTTAAATTCTGAGGCAGAGTCTGTGGTTGCAGCATGAGGAGAATACTAGTTTTAGTTAGTGAAAAGAACAGACTCTTTGAGCAGAACAATCCAGGGAAAGCTGCTTGGCTGTTGCTTCAGTCAGTGGCAAGGTGCTGTTCTTTGGCATACTTGAGGATGCTTAGGCTAATTGAATACTTGAAACTTAAGTTTAACAAAAGTACTTTGCTTTTTTGCACAGCTGGGCTGTGCTTGGTTCCCTGGTTCTATTGCTTATTATATTATGTGCTTCTGCAAGGTAGATGGATAGGAGGACATTGTTTTGAGCATTAAAAGGTATTTGTCAGGCATCGGGTATTTGTTTTCTTTATGTAAACTGGGGATTTTTTGTCTTTATCTAAGGTTTTACTGTAAATAATGTTCATTAACTACTATGCAATCTGTGATTTTTTTTCCCTTTCATATGTTTTATTTACAATAAGTAACATACAGCAGTTTCCAGGAAGCCAAAACATGGCATGCTGCTGCAGTGTTCAAAAGAAGTTGTACTGCAAGGCTGAATGAATGCTGCTGCAGTGTTCAAAAGAAGTTGTACTGCAAGGCTGAATGACGACAAAAAAGAAATATTTTTTTTTCCACTTCTGTAGTATACTGTGGGTGATAACAAGATGAATTTGGTCTCAAGCAATTCACCTAACATGCTTGGCAGCTGGTTTTGAAATGTAAAGGAAAGTAGAGTTTTAATGTTCTCAACAGTTGTAGAGTTTTAATGTTCTCAACAGTTTCCTATGACAGATCTCCCTGTTACAGCCTCACAGTGGTAAAGCAGGTTATTCTTGTTTCCTCTGCCCCATGTTAGTCATGTCCCCTATGATATATCTTGTAGGGTTTCTTGTAATGTTTGCACTACTTACCCCCCTAACAGATCAGAATGAAATTCCTCTAAAATCCTTCTGTCATAAGAAAGCATGATGTAAATATGTAGATAATGGGAGGAGAGTAGTTGATACTGGACTCTTGGTATAACATCAACCTTGTTATTTCTTGTTTTGAACAGGGATTTTTCCTGCTGGGACTGAATAATGCTGTTGACTGCAGCTGACCATTTGAAGTTAGGAGGATTTAATTACTTCATTGAAAGACTGATTTTAGGACACCTGTGCCCTATTAGCAACAGGGTATGAAAAGCCTGTGGAGAAACTATAACTTCATATAGCTTATAGTTTAGAATGGTTAATTGGTTTATATCTGTTCTCTCCCACTGTGCCAGAACAAGGCAGGGTGAATGTTTTATTTTGGAAAGAACAGAACAGATGTCTTGCCAGATCATAGATCATGAGTGCTCATTAGCTTTTATTATCTTTATGAAATGTTAGATAGCAAAGCCTAGTTTTTGATGGTTGAAAATGTGTTGTGCATCTAATGTTGCAAAACCATTAAAACCATAAACTGTGAAATGCAGCTTAATGACTGCTACTGTATGTTCCATAGTCAAGTAAGATGGAAAATGGAGTGAGAGGAAGATGGTGGTTGGCCTGAATTTTCCAGATGCTTGGAGAGTTTCACGTGCACAATAGAAAAAAATATTAGGATAAACAGTGCTTTAGAAATTATGGGTAAGTCAGTAATTGATGCAGCTATTATTATGGAGAATTTTTAGCATGTCCATAGAAGAGCATTTGTCTGGCTAAGAAGTAAAATCACCAAACTACTAAACTGATGCTAAGAACCAAAGCTTTAAATCAACTAGATTAAACCTCCCCAGGGATTCTTGAGTTATAAAGATAAGTGCTTTTCAAGTCAGAACATCTGTTTTTATCCAGACTTACTATAGATAATCATACACACAAGAGATAAGATAGATAGACAAGAGACTGTGATACATGATTTATAGACACACATGTCAATTCAACAACATTTTTGCACTCTAGGGATACTAACAGAGTTAATGTACTTCTGTGGGGCTAGCTGTTGTTTAGAGGCAGCAGGAATCACACCACATAAGGAAACCTAGTGTGAGGTTACTGACTTAGGTTAATTACTGGCTAGTTTAATTTGAAAATAGCTCTGTGCAGTTAGGTAGATTGAAACATTTCTAATTATGTGTGTAAAGCAATATTTCTGGTTTCAGTTTTAAAAACCTGCATGTAATTCAAACTAATAGAATATATTAATAAAAATGGAATTGAGATAGACTACACCTTTAGTTTGGGTTTAAAAATGGCATTATTGCATGCCTTTCCATAAATGGCATATAATTTAGTTGGTGAACATTGTTTTTTAAATGCTCACTTAATATGTTTGAAATGCTGCAGATTAGGCTCAAAACACCACTAAGAAGGGCTGCTGTGGGCCACTGAAATACTTCCTCTGAAATCCATGACATTTGTCTGTCAATCATTTGTGTGTCAAAAAGTCTCTTGTTGGAAACACTTTGGTCTCCTTTTTTTATTAACATCTTTATATTGATAGATTTTGTCTTATATCAGAGCCCTCTCAGATTTTTCCTGATCTTTTTCTCTGATTGTGATGTATTGCTAGGAATAGCAAATAACATCCCTAAATTTGTGTCAGGCTTTTCCAGTTGTTTTTAAAAACAATTGTTTTAAAACATTGTTTTAAAATTTTTAATTTTTACTTTTTGTTTTAAGTTGTTTTAAAAATTGTTTTAAAAAAATAAAATACACTACTATGACTGGAGACTGTTTAATGCCAAAAGAGCAGAAGTTGAACAGGAGTGCAAACACTGTGAAAGAAGTGTCCCTGAGCTCTCTGTTTGCAGCTGCATATACTTGCTGCATTAAGTGCTTGTGACATTCTGTGCCAAGAGTTCAACTATTCAGTTTCATACAACGCCAAGTGATTCATTGGGATTATTAGGATACTCCTGGGATAGCTTTGCCATACTGATTGCCTCTGACATACCAGTTTGCTTAGATTAAAAAGCAATTGTTGTTGTCTAGTCAAATTTATAACCCCTGGTAAAAGGAAACTGAACCCTAGTGCTGTCCAGTATATAAAAACACCTTTGGTCTACAAATGACATGGATTGGAAAGAAAACTGAATACCTTGAAGAATGATACTAGTTAGCATGCATAGAGCAAAGATTTCATAGGTATCTAATAGACAGCTTTTCTGTGCTGGTAAGTTTATTCTGATGTATTTAGGTCAATGTATAAGCACTATTTTAGATTAATTCTTCTAATTGCTGTCTTTATTGCTACAAAGTGATGCAGCTATTGATTGGTATTTGGATGCCTGTGAATGTTACGACAGCATGGCTTTTTGGTGTATGTCAGCTAAAAGATGCTATTGTACTATGGGGAATCTAAATTTTGTATTAGATTGGGTCTGGAGAGGTGGCCTGGAGACAACTGCTGTGCTTTACCCTTGATTTGTTGGATGTATTAGTGATGCTCTTAAGTGTGGGACCATAAGCAAGAAAAAAGAGGAAATAAATGGTAGAGGCACACTTCTGAAGGTGAAGAGTATCTTCAGAAAAGAGGTGAGTCGTGTCCTGAGTATAAATGTGGAATAACAGGGTGTTTTGAGAACAGATATGTCATTCAGCTGGCAGATGGGAGAAGTGCCTGGGCCTCCTAGAGATATGATCCTTTTTTCTTCCCTGCCTGGTCTGAAGGTTGCAGTCTGCTGCCACTGAGACTGGGAAGACTGGTTGGGCTCAGCCAGGAGGGTTCCTGGGGCATGGTGGATTTTCTTTGTTTGATGCTACCTCAGAATGAGCCTACTGCTGACTTGTCATTTTGGTATATCCCCGCATGCCATGCCTTAAGGTAGATTTTTTGGCAGTGTTTGCTAAAGCAAGTTAAGCTTCTGCTGAAAGGGCACCACTTCAAATTATATGTGAAAAGGGGATTCCTTCTGTGTGGGTGAGATGCTCTCCATTAAGCACAGTGGCATGAACAGTTGCTAAAATGTATCTTCAGTTTAGGAAAATTCTAAATGTAAACTCCATGGGCAGGACACATGGGGGTTAATAGTCATATCTGTGTTTTTG